TGGATATGAAGCCCCAGTCAAAGATTACTCTAAGGTAAAGACAGAACACCATTTACAGCAGCACTATACTACATCAACAACTGTGAACAAAAGTACTGAAGGACAGAAGCCTGTTAGTCCAGATTAGAGGTGCAGCTGTCGATTGTTGTTACGATCCCAGACCTGAAGCTGCTGACACACACAGACCCAGCAGGAAACCCCAGGATGGAGAAGCTACATCTGCCACCTTGTTCCACTTCAAATAAACCAGCCTGGGGTTCAGAGCCAATAATATATTACAGGGCTGAAGGCTGAAGACTGGTGCAGGCCTCAACAGGTGGAGCAGGAATAAGGATAAATTCACAGAAACAAAGGGGCTCAAAGAAAAACCAGACATGCAGCACCTTTCAGGCAACTCGATGCAAGTAACACTGGTGTCAGCTACAGTATTGAATGTTTGTTGTGGCTTTTATTTTGAAAAGGGCCTCATCAGTTTGATCAGTTATCTGAATTCTGCTGCCAACCCTATTGTATTTAAGTAGAGAAAGACAAGACGTTAAGTTGGGACTGAGATCTCTCGTCCTAAACCAGAACCAGGAAATCTTTTTTTTAATAACCTTGTACATTAGTATTTTCTTTGTGCTTAAGAGATGATGACAAATATATTACAGCGATTTTAAAGATACTCTAACTTTTTCTATCAACTGACTGATTGAGATACACCCATATGGAATTATCACTCGCCGTGACGCGTCTTCCAACTCACTGCTTTGGTTTTACAGCCGATAAACTTTCCTTTTTCAGTTTGACATCATGTCCAGATGCAGCTGTTTCCAGTGAAAACCTCTGAACCAGTCAACGCTACAGCATTGATGCAAAGCCCACCTTAGTTAAGAGTGTCACTGTGACTTCTAGGTAAACTTTACTCTGACCCTTATTCAGACATGAGAGTGACAAGTGAAACTGCCATCGCATTCACACAACAAGGTGCATGATACAGATGTGTTTGGAGGTTTTACACCACAACACCTGTACCCTGTGCTGATGAACGAAGTATTCTTCAGTCCAGTAGCAGACACCGCATTATGTGGGAGAAACCCAAACACTCAAATCCCTAAGCAGCCTCAAACACACAAACCTAACATTCAGCTCCACTGACACACACGTCACACAATTCCTTGTTCGAACTTGACAAATCATTGTGGTAAAGGAGCCAACAAGCAGCACAAGAAGCTCTGCATCATCACCATGATGACCGGATCATTGGAAAATAGAGCCAAGTGGTCATGAGTGTAAAACCACTAAACAACATGACACGAAACAAGATGTAAAAGCTCCACTTGAAATTAACAACTCAACAAACTGCAATTTAGGAACAAAAGGCACAAAGACAAGTGACTCTGCATGTGGACCAGGTGTGAGGAGACGGAGGAGCAGACAACAGGAGAGTAGGGGGAGTTTATTTTGAAGACAAACATCTGCCTCGCACGCATTTTACCGAGACAATGACGAGAGAGGATGGTGGTCCCGGGGCGCCCCGAGGCTGAGGGCCAGTCGGCACAAAGGCTCATGTCAGCAGACGGCAGCTGCTGGGCAGGGTAATGAAGCACCCAGTTTGTTTTGGGGACAAAGGCAAGCAGCAGGCCAGTGCCAGCGCATCTAATCCCCCAGCAAGTCAAACCTCAGCAGTCATCTGCCCTCACTTAGTGAGGCGAGACAGACAAAGGCTGAGGGGAGGCGCATTCATCGCTGGCTGAATCAGCTCCTTTTGAACTCCATCAGTGCTCATGCAAACATGACCCGGTGCCGCAGGACACTAGTGGACCAAAAGCTGGGTTTGCTGGGCCTTTGGTAACACACATGATGGTTTTGAGCTGTGACCAGGTCCAGAAATGGTTTTCCCAGTTTGATGTGGAAAAAGCCAAACGCCTGCCACAGAGCCCTGACCTCAACACACCGACGTAACGAACGCTCCTGAAAAACAATCAGAAAGAGGTATTTTAAAACCTAAAACCTAAATCAAGCGTGTGATGACTGCACATTCCACCACAGCCACGCCGTTCGTGCCACAGCAGCAGCTCATTACAGGCTTAGTCCTGTAAAACTGGTCAGTCCCTGAGTCCACCGTGAACCACAGGGCTGCGCTCGTGTGGATTCACCCTCTCTGACTGGAGATTCTGGTTACTAGGTTAATTCCTGCTCAGCCTGTCCACAAGACGGGACATTGTAAGACCCTGTTTTTCTTCCTTGTGGCTTCCATACTACTGTAACTAAAGGTGCCAACAGGAGGTCGAGAGCTGTCCATGTGACCTTGATGCAGTATTCATGTGGCTTCTCAAAGTTCACAGGGAGTCTCATACAGCGATGTTTTAAAAGTGTCAGACTCCATGGAAGTTATTTTTATAACAGCTTTTGTCTATTTAGTCCAAACAAACAAAGAAACTGCTGCTTAAAACACAAAACATCTTGAGGTCGATTTGCCAACATGTGACACTATGACATTCATTCTGAACTGAACCACAAAACACGTCCTGGTACTGCGATTCAAAAACTCAAAGGCAGCCGGTCACAAAAGCAACAATCAGCCACACTCAATTTGATTCCCTTAGGAAATAAAATGCACAATTATGTTCTGTTCCACTCAACTACATAAAAACACTTCATCAGGTGGAAGAAAAACTGTTGCAGTCAACAGCTTCTTAGATCTTAGGATGACAAACGATGAGCCATCACCTACTGTGACCGAATTAGAAAATAACTGTTCAGCTGGAGGGAGGTTTGTAAATCAACAGAGACACGTACAGAAGCTTCAGGCTTGTAAGAAACAAACAGTCTGTCTCTGTATTTGGAAACTGTGGCTGTAAGTTCATTTAGAACAATCAGCGATTAATGTCAAAGTGACATTTATTAAGATGAAATTCACTGAAAAATTAAGTAAGGAGTGGCAGGAACAGAGCCAGAAGACAGAGTGTTCTCAGTCAGACAGTCAGACCATATGGCAGACCTAAGTCAGTCGTCGTCACGGAGGATAAGTCACCTGCACTGGTTTGGCCCATTTGGCTCTAAGAAAACACTCCACTGTGACCTCCTGAGAGGCTTTTATGTTAAACACAGGTCATCCACTGTCAGCACACAGTGTCAGACAGCGGAGGAAGAATTCAGTCACCGGTTTTAACAGGAGTGCATGTTTACTAGAGATGCACCAGATTCCCTGTGCACTGCCCTGCATCCACTCTGCTGCACAGTGAGGACGTAATAATAACGACTGATGACGGGAAAGCCGAGCTACCAAAGGGGAGTGAGAAAGGTCAAAGCCCCTCTGCTAATGCACAATGCTTGTTACTGAGATCAACCTTGTTAGTGGTGAAAACACATAATGAGCCAGAAATTCTGAACATTTAAAAGCAGACAATAAGCTGAAGACTTATTTTATAATAGTGAAGTCAAAGGTCCCAATTCCTGCTTGTTCTCTGACTCACTGATCAAATACAGCCATGATCCAAACAAGTTACCCAACTTCTCGAACCTCTAATAATCACACAGACAGTTGTGCTTTTTGTATGTCTGATTTGTGCAGAGCAAGAACTGGGTAGCAAGCATCAGCTGAGAAACTTTAACAAATCTAATCAACAGACAGCTGTGGCACTTAGAGAAACTTTAACAAATCTAATCAACAGAGGAAATAAAGGTAGAAGACATGAAAGCACCACCAGCACTGTTTGACTGACAGGTGCAGCACAGAAACACCTGTAAATCACACACAGGCAGCTCCTCTGGTGTAGTGGCCTAAGTTGGTGCATGGACATTTCAGCAGCTTTCTGCACAAAGCTACCACCCTTCTCTGTGTTGGAGTGAGAGCTGCATCTACAGATTAATAATACTATGGGCTCTGAGCTTTCCTACTTTAATCCACAGTGGAACAGCAGCTGCTCTACCCACCACCGCCCCCACAGAGGAAACTACCCACAGGTGCAGCTGCACATGTTGAACTGCAGCCGCAGTCAGCACAGGTTTAGACTTCACGCAAATCAGTGATGTTTGTGGAAGGCTTAGTCTTCCAGTTGAAGAGCACTAGTGAGGTCACGGCTGCCAGTCACCCCCCAGTCTGAGCACTGCATCCTGGCTGGTGTGAACCTAAAACATGCCACAGAGCAGTAACCCCATAACAACCTCATTCACTTCTTTTCACCTTACACCTGGTGCTGCACCAGCTACCACCAAATTTTAATCCAGAGCTGTTTCCATTGTTATTGCAGTGTCAAATAAATTCCAACAACACTTTCTGTTGGAGGAACAAGTAAAAATATGCTGCCCCATGATCACCAAGTCAGGAAGGACTGGTCCTTACGTACTGATCAACAAAGGCATACAAACCAGAGCTATAAGTTCACTAGCCTTGTCCAGAGCTTTCCACGACATCTGTCTTCCTTTCATCCATGACAATAGTGCACGTGTCCTCCACTGAGCAGGCGACATTAGCAATGCTCCGTATCTGTGCTAGTTAGCATGTTAAGGTACTGCTATTGTTGGGCTTGTGAGAATGCTAGCTTGCTAACTCTGAACTAGCCCTGGCTAAGTCACATTACTATCCTGAGACCGATTTATTTTATAGATTACAAAACTAATATTCTTACCAAACAGTCCGTATCCGTCTAACAAACGTTTGGAGTGCATTTCTGTCCACTTAAATACTCGCAAAGTCGATTTCTGAAGCATTTTACATTCAGTAGTGTTTAGGAGTTTCATCTTCTTCCCTGCCTCTGCTGGGACATTGCTGCACTTCGTGGCTTGTTACCTCCACCTGCAGACCAGGGGAATACTGCAACACCCCCAAAGAAAAGCTGCTCCAAGGAGCTACTATAGGTCTGAACTGCATAGAAGACCTTTAATGGTTGGAATTATTTTCTGAAAACATCTTCAAAACACACACACACACACACACACACAAACAGTTGAAATAATTGCAGAATTAAAACCGCTGCAGAGGGACCACTGTGTTGTAGCGATGCTGACACACACCTCTTGCTGACCTCGTTTCCTCTCACCATCACTTCATTCTGTATCCTTGCTTTCTGTTCCTACCTGGCCTCAACTTTCCTCTCACCATCACTTGCTTTCTGTTCCTACCTGGCCTCAATGTGGTCAAACAGGTGCTGCCAGCGGTCATTTATGTCCTTCAGCTTGTCGTTGATCTCTGCGGCTTTAGTCTTGTTGCTGGCAGTGATGAGTTGTTCTCCGAGCTGCTTCAGATGGGTTTTATTCTCACTGAACAGGTTGATCTCCTCCATACAGTCCTGCTCGATGAACAGAGGACAAAGCGGATGAAATACATTTATGATAGGTCACATTTCCAAAAAGAGTCATTGTGCATACTACATGTTCAATCATTTATCCACAGGACATAATAAAGTGACGTAACTGATGAGGCGGGCTGATTTTGTTGTGGTTTAATTTTAGACAAAGTTTCAACCATGAATTTACCTTGTTAACATTTTCTTGGCCTAAAAAGTCTCCTACCTTCTTGAGTTTCTCCACCATCTCCTCGATGGTGAGGTCGGAGCTGTGTGCCACTTTATTCTCCATCTGCGTCAGCCACTCACACAGCTCCTTGTTCTTCTCATTGAAGATGATCCACGCGTTCAGACGGTCGGCGATCTCCTGTTTACGCAGAGACACCTGACACACACAGACGGTTGGAAGAAAGACATTAGATACGCTTAATATCTTTAAAATGCTCAGTTGTACTTTATAACTTATAATTACTGCTACTGATACAGACAGTGCACCAGTCATAGGGTCATTTAACTTGATCTGACAGGAAGCGTTGATGACTCAACATCTCGTTTTCACCTCACTGCTCCCACATTAGGTTCAAGTCAATGACACCTGAAGCTCGGAGAAATACAAATAAAGAGTAATCTGAAGTCTTCACATTTATGGTTACTGGCTCTGTTGCTGGATGTTTGGTATAAAATCACTCACACACTCTTATCAAGAGATTCATTAGTTAATTACTTTGATGTCCTGAGAACGGGTTAGGCTTAACAAAATAATAGGATATGCTTCTACAAACCTTTTTAAAATCTAAACTGTAATCCATGTTTCCAAGAGAAGAGCTTCACTGCACCAAAGAGGGTGTAAACACCTTAACAGTGGTGTAATGTTATTGGAGCAGGAGAGAAAAACCTGTCATTAGACAGAGCTGCAAAGTGTCTCGCTGACTGTCAGTTCCAAGAAGCCTGAGCAGAGAGTCCTTCTCTGGATGAGCCAGTTTACTCCCCACATGAAGAGAAGCAAAATAATATTCTGACCATTCTGAAACCATTAAAAACAGACTTTTTGTGTGGGGATGTAGTCTTTCATCGGGCTCAAGCCCATCGTGTGACCTACAATTTCAGCTGTGGCCACTTGGACAAAGTCCCTGCACAGCCTGGTGCTTAACTTTTCTACCTCCAAAAAAGAGCACTGACCTAAATGTTTGAACAAAAGCGGTGGATGAGGCGGCCTGAAACAGATACTGTGCAGGTGTAAATACACAACAGTAAAAAGTGAAAGTTGGTATCATCACCTCCCCCAAACTCATTGTAATACAAACGCTCTTCTTCCTGAGGCCTCTGGGCCCATTACAGAATTTCTCTCCTGTCACCATCTGTTCCTCCATTCCCACAGTTCCCCTCACAACCTCTCACCCAAACCTGTTGTTCACTTCAGCCACACTAAAAAGCCTCCAAGATTTATTGACTTAACTCGTCATTAACGGCTTAGCACTGATGACTGGAAAGCAGACGGCAAAGACACCACGGTAAAGACACAAAGCAGATTAACATGTAGTGCAGAAAACGACATTGCCAAGAAACTGCTCCCTTCTAAAACAAACGTGGACTTAATGAGGAAGCTGAAGCATCTGCATTTAGGCTTTTACCTTCCCCTTGTTTGGTCTCTTTGTGCTGGTGCAGTTTGAGGTGCTAAGCTGACTTGTCTGACCTGCTGCTGTCCCAAAACACAGAGTGACTGTTTGATAGATAGGCCATTTTCTCATATGAACTCAATAGGAGACTGGCTGTGTCAGGTGCACTCTCACCGTCTGAACACACTCCTGGTGCCTGGGTAGGGAACGCAGGAGGCAGGACATGACACAGGCACGTAGCTGGTTTGTAATTTGGTCAGAAACAACTGAGTCTCTTGCCATTTCCTGAACTGATCTGACAAGTTCAGCATCGGCCATAAACAGATTCTCAAACCTCATCATTGACGTTTCACACCATATGCATGAAGAAAAGTCATCTATGGAATGTTCTGGACAGTAACCTGCTCCATTTCCACATGAACTCAGTCGGAGTTTCACTAAGAAACTGGCAGGGAAAAGTCTGTTTAATGTCTGGTCGAACAGACTCAGACACGTGTGTTCTCACATAAAGCTCCTCCAGGTCATGTCTGAATAAGTTCAGGGTTGCAGAGCATGTCTGAAAAGGGTGACATTAACTCATAACAATAATACATAAACATTAAGTGAACGATGAACTGCCCTCAACAAGCCAGATTATTGCGCTGTCTATGGCTCCTCCAGGATGAAGAAGTTTGACAGAGTTTCTGGTTTCTGTGCACTTTCTCATCTGTGCCATTTATGTGAATTCTTGTTCTTATAATTTGCCAGTGATATGTTCAAGTGACTTCCTTAACTTGATGCAAGTCAGATTACAGACTGAACATTGTTGAGCTTTACAGAACGAGTAAAGTCTCAGAAGTTAGTTTTACGTTTCAGCAGAGACTCAAAAGGTTCCCAAATATACCAGGTCAAATCTGGGGCAGTGTGCACGAATTGATGCATGAGACATCTTAAATATTTCCATTTTTGGAATGGTGCAGCTCCCAGGCAGGGTTTGAATGTTTCATTCAGAGTAAACATCACATATCTTCAATGAAGATCTGGAGCAAACTGACAGATGTATCATTTTGTTGGACAGTGTGGAATAAGATGATTTTTGCTTTTAAAAAAGCCGCATGATAAGAGATTAAAACTCCCCAAGGAAAAACAAAAGTTGGCTGACCAGATTCAGGAGCTCTCACTGTGCACTATGTATGAAAGCACATTTTAGACCAATTCGGCATCATCAAACAGACAAGCAGTAAAATGAAGATACCGCTCTGTGTTTTAATGACAACTATAAGTGAAATAAAGGTGGATAAACAGCAGAAGCAGTTTACTGCAGCAGCTAAAAAGGCTGTTTTCAGCTTTAGACAGGAGCTGAGTGTATCAACCCCAGAACACTGACCTTGAGGCAGAGTTCCTCCCACTGGCAGTGCAGGTGCTCCACCTGCTCCTGCACCAGCAGCATATCGTCGGCGATGATGTACTGGGACAGATCCGTCTTCATGGTGCTCAGCTCCGTCAGGCTCTTAGCCCAGTCCTCCAGGGAGTCCTCGATCTCCTGCATACCATAACACAGAGAGCAGCACAACAACCCGTCAGGGACCCCCCTCCAGCTAATGTCTCTCTCCGCCCATCCCCTCTCTCTTTCTTTCTGCTCCGATCTCTCTTTTCTCCCTTCTCCCCGCCCAGAGAGAGGATTAAAGGCCGTAGGCTGCAGGCCGGGCCTGGGGGTGGTGACAGGACAGGGAGGGGGAGAAGAGGAGGTGCATAAAGGCTATGGGGGGTCAGGAAGGATATGTTGTGTCAGACCTGTTTCAAACTTGGCTTTGCCTGAAGGCCCCATGTCTGCAGTTTGTCCATTGTTCTTTGGGGTCTTTGCACTGTTATTTTCAGCTTTTATATAAAAACACAAATTAATTTATCAGCATTAATCTTGATTATTAACACATTATCGCCCACTGTTCCACCTGAACATCATTTTTCCTAGAGGTGATTTCTGTCATTTTAGGTAAATATTACCACACTGATCTGTGCACAGGTGGTCATTTCCCTGATGGATTTGTTTTGTAGAAGTGATATGAGGCTGCTTGGTTATTATTGTGCAGAATCTGGTTAGAAATGCATCACAAAATCAAGATGGCTGCCCCCGTATTGGCAATGTTTTGGCTTCACTCTTTCATAGTGGCAGGCAGTGGTAATGCGTCACTCATCTTTTATACAGTCTATGGACATGACATTCTGTGACCACATGTTTGCAGATGCACCTTGTTGAAGTTCTCTGCACTCTGCAGCTTGTCATCACACTCTGGCATCGACTGGTTCAGTCTGGTCTTCACGTCCTTCAGCTGCAACATGCTGTCAGTCAGTCCAGCCTCGCAGCGCTCCCAGTTCTAAGACAACAAATAAGCTTTTAAAGACTCATTGATCATACAGTTCACTGCAGTGGGGTCTTTAACAGCTGATTGGCTTTGACAACAGCGAGAAAGCCGTTGCACTCCTTTGTGCTTGGCTTCCTAATCATGTCCTCTGCCGTTAATTAGAGTCGATTGGATTAACTTGGCTGCTCTCAGGCAAACAGAAGCCATCAGAGGCGACAGGTGAAAGACGGACGATGTCTCTACAGTCAAAGAGGACAGGTGTCCAGGGTGAATAAACAAAAACTCAGCTCTTACACCAGACTTGTAAATTGCATCCACTTACAACAGATACACATCAGCCAAGAAGAGACCTACAAAAGATTTACAAAGCCATCACAGCCCCTTGTTCCTGTGATGTGTGTGCTTCTGCACAGCAGGGATATTTAGATGTTTAGATGGCAATTCAGAAACAGTTTGGTACATTGAGAACGAGCTCACAAATGGTCAATCACATCTTGGCCAGAACCACAGAAATCTTTAGGTCAAATCCTCTAAATTCTAAGAAAATGCTGACAAAATCTTAGAGTGATTCTTTTCAGCTTGAACCAAAGGATAGAAGGGCAGAATCCCCCCAGGATGATATAACTGTCTCAGGGGGCAGCACTGCAGCACTGCCAGGCAGATTAGGTTTCCAACATCTCACTGATGTTGTGTATTCAGTGGAATCTGAGACTCCAGCTTCCCTAACTGGTCTGGTTTCACTACAATGAGCCCCCAGCATAAAACAGAAACAATCAAGTGACTGGTTTATAGTGAGCCCAAGACAAACCTAAGCCCTAAAAACAGACAGAAATAAGTTCATCATATGAGAAACATGTCAGTGGTTGAGAGTGAAGTCAAATATCTCAAGTGCCCTAGAGCAGAGTGCACCCATAAGATGTTCTGAAATCATCTCTACCTGCTGCAGAACCTCTGAGAGCTACAAGAGCTACATAGGATGTGAAGAAGTACCTTTACAACAGCCCGGATAAGCTCCATCCTATGGCCCAGTAGGCTGTGAAGGTTGTCCCACTCCTCCTGCAGAGTTCCCAGATCCGCCTGCAGCTGAGCCTGGGTCTCCTCGTCCCCCATGGAGAAGAGCTGTTGGCCAACCTCCAGAGTGTGGATGAAGCTGCACTGATGCCTCTGGAACAGCAGCTCTGTGTGCTGAGGAGCAAGAGGGAGGAAGGAAAAGAGTACAGAAGATTTGAAAGAAGGAAAAAGGGTGAAAGAAATCAATTAAAATAGAAAGCTGACAATCAGCTGTGCTGATGTGATTAAAATGCTTAATCTAGTTAAGTGCACACTGGTTCCTTTTACTAAGGAGGAGCTATCAACACGCAGAAGGAAGAGAGTTTATCAGTTTATTGTATTGTAACTCAATCAGTTCACATGTCCTTCCTCTTCTAACCAAAAACAATCTGTGATGAGACTCTTCCTCCTCTTTACTTCCTTTCTTTTCATGTAAATACAATCAGCAATAGTCAGTTCTTAGTCTTTGTATCTTAAATCAGCCCCCGAGATTAACTTTAAGCAGATGTGGTAAAGACTGGTTTAATCGTCTTCTGCAGCTTTAGAAATCAATGTTAGTTTTGTCAATTAAAACTGTCGTGGAAACTACGACCTTCTTCAAAGACCAAATCTGAATAAAAAATAGCCTATCACATTATTTGTCATCAAATGAAACAATAATGAGAAAGACAGATGAATGTACATGAAATGCTAACGGGCTTATTAAATGAATGATGATGTGGTCGTTGTTTTCTATCTAAAGCAATAACTGTTTGTCATGAAGCTAATATTTATGTCCCTGCAGAGGGACTATAAACTGTCCAACGAATCCTCCACAAACTTTAGACAATTCTCATATTTGCACTCTCTAATTTCTCTGATATTCTAGCCCTGCTGCCGTCTTTCTCACCAGCAGGGGCTGCCGGGGGCGTCGTGGCTGGCGGAGGGCGCGCTTTCTGCAGCTTTCTCAGGCTGTGGCTGTAAAGGTGCCAGTGCTTCATCAGCCCCTGCACCAGGCAGCATCGCTGGTCTGCCCGCTGCACTGCCAACTGCCAGTTCTCTCTGAGCTGAGCCAGTTTCAGGATAAAGTCAGTCCTGTAAACATTAACACAGCTAAGTGTTATTTATCTCATGTTTTACATTTAAAACACAATACAAGTTCTACTCAATACTGAGTCCTGTATATACAGACAATGGTCATGGTTATTCATCAAGTAGTGGTTCAATTATTTCAGTCTGAACCAAAGCATTGGACTGACAGGCCTGTCAGCTTCGCCACCACGCAGAGCCACAGCACATGCTTGACTATGAAAAGAGAAGGTCAAAGTCCAACTTTTCACCTCCCAGTATCAAATAAAACCTGTGTGTGCCTCAGAGTTTACAGCTGGATCTTCGTACCTGTCCCCCACTTCTCCTTTCTGCAGCAGATGAAGAGCTTCAGTGATGACTGAATGTAGGATCTGGTGAGCAATGGGGAGTTCTGCCTGAAACCGCTGAAACACCCAAGAGAAATCATGATTATATTTGCGTTTGGAGTGTTTTTGTCAAGTCTGTCAACGATGCTTGATACCTTATGTGTGCAGAGCTGCTGTCTGAGGCCGACGTAAGATCCGGCCACATCCACTGCCAGACTGTCCTCCATCCTCTGCAGGAAAGACATCCAGCTCTCACACTTCTGCCCGAAGTTCTGCTGCTTCAGCGTCTCCGTCTGCAGCTGACTGCACACACACAGCAGTTAGTGAACAACGCTCCATTTTATATCATGTACATTTAACAACAGACTGGTGTTAATGTCAGTAAGTTCACAGTACAATATTTAACACTGTTTGAATTAAACAAAGACTAAAACAAGTGGCCCAAGATGCCAGTAACAGATTTACTCAGATTAAATATATCATTTATTAAAAAAAATAAACAGGTTCCTATTGATAATGTTGAGTAATGAAACACTGATGAGCAGCCTTCCTGATTATTTGTTTTCAGGTCATTCATCAAGAAAAATGTTGCAGATTTCTAAAATGTCTCTTTTTTTATTTGTAATATGACTGAAACCTGAAAATCTTTGGGTTTTAGGTTCTTGGTCAAAAACAAAACAAATATTTTCAAGACATCACTTTGGGCTCTGGAAAACAGTGACTGCTTTCTGTTGTTTAACTCACTAAACAAGTCACAGTGTTCATTCATGTACAGTATGTAATTAAACTGCACCCCCCGACCTGCGGGCCTCCTCGGCTCTGGTGGAGGTGTCGGCCCAGCGGCGGTTGAGGCGCTGAAGGCGGCAAGCAGCAGCGTTGTCTAGCGTCAGGCTGCGGCTCAGCTCATTCAGCACATCCAGGTCAGCAGACAGGCCGCTCAGCTCCAGAAGACCAGCCTGCAAACATATGGTGGCATTTCAGACTCAGAGGGATCACAACAGTCTGGACTAGTGCACACAACGCATCACAGCTGAGGGGCCAGTTTACTGACTCAGTGTCTGTAAACTCTCCTTTCAGATGAAGATAAGTCCCTCACTACTGGTTTAAAAGTGTCTGAAGAGATCCACTTCCATTAATAAAAACAAATCTGACATTCATTTTGCTAATAAATCTTCATTTAAGTCGATTAATACATTTTAAAAGCTTCAACATGGATCAAAGACAAACTTTCAAAGAGACTGAATTTTCATTCTTGACACTGGAAACAGATCAATCTCACCTAAAAACATCAAAATCATTTTAAGGGTCCTTAATGTGCTCAGGAAAAAATGCAAATTAAACATTATATTTTACTACGAACTTTGTGCTGAGGAGGATGTGTGACACAGTCAGACGCTCCAGAACATTTGTGCACTCAAACTGTGGAAAACGAGACTTGATTCATAAAACAGTCTGATTATAACCTCTATCGATGTGTATTGAAAACATGAGAAATCTCAACTGAGTCACATTTTTTCCACTTGTCTAAGAGAACAGCATCTTTAGGCCTCAGTGTTGACAGACAGAATGTTTGCAGGTACAACAGAAGCAGCTAACAAGTTTGATCAACAACAAAAACACTAGTCTAAAGAATACAAAACGTTTCCAGCTACAATATATTAAACAGAGGCAAATCTGGACGTATCTCAAAATAGAGAATCTAAACTGGGATCAAGCAGCTGTACTACAGTCATTTATGACCCCGTTCACGCCGTCTCACCTGGTCTGCTGCCTGCACATTCTGCACACGCTGGTGCCAAAGCTCCAAGTTTCTCTCCAGAGACTCCAGGCTGGTTTCAAAGTCCTGCAGCTGCTGCAGCTCCTCCTGCACACAGACGTGTGGCACAGGGCCATACTGATCTTAATCTATAGGTCACTATGCCACTGACAGGTTAGGAAAGTGTGCACTACCACAACAAAATTAGTTTAAAACCTAGCTTGTATATGGCTTTACATTATAAACAATAAAAAATAACAATCAAGTTTACAAAAGCCTTAGGATGTATGAAGGATATAGTAACACAGACATTAAATGAGCACGAGGGAGGTTACAATAAAAAGCTTAATTTTTAAAATCGGAAACAAAGAGTCACTTACTCATTCAACTGTTCCTCAGCTGACCCCATTTACTTGACAGCGTATATCAAACACTGCCCCTGTTACCCCAAGCATCACTCCGTGCACTTCCATAACTCAGTGGTTATAAAAAGCCCAGTGTGACTTTGCTAAATCCCACAAACAGACGTTGTTATTCATGAAGCTGTACCTGCAGCTGACCCAGCTTCCCTGACAGCATCTGGCTGAACTGTGAGATGTCACGTGAAAACAGCCTGCTCTCTGATTGGACCAGACCAGCAGCTAATGGTTCCAGGTGGTCAGTTAAGTCCCTGGAGGCATCCAGCACCTCCTGCAGGTTAGAATGCAAATTGCCAGTCCTCTCCAAGAGACTCTGCAGCAGAGACAAACAAAGACACAGATTTAGTTACAGAAATAAGAGGGCTGAAGAGTCTCCTCTGCATGTACAGTAGTGTTGGTGTAGTGGAACGCCGTTTGTTTAATCTAAACCTAAACAGCTGAAGCTGAAGAACCGGCAACAGCATCTGTTAACTCCACTTCCTCACGTCCTCTGTACCACACAGTCACAGTGCTGAGAGGTTTCCTCTGAGCGATTGTTCTTCTCAGTTTATTACCTCACCTGAACACTGTGAATCTTGATGGCGACCTGCTCCTTCGTGCTGTCGTCTTCAGGCGCTGCACTCAGAGCAGAGGAGATGTCGCTCTGCAGCAGCTGCTGCTGCTGGGAGAGAGATGCAGCCAGTGGAGTGTAGACCTCCCAGACCTGCAAGATGCCCCGACTCCTCTGGAGCTGCTGGTCCAGAGCTCCACACACCACAGTCCAACTGGAGGACAGAAGATTACTGTGTGAGAACATCTGTGTCTCTTGTGTGTGCCATGTGTTTGCATGCAGATGTCTACCTCACCTGTCTCTCTGTTGGTTCAGCTGCTTAGTGAGGAGCGTGGCAGCGGCAGGACTGATGACTTCTCTGAGCGAGGACATGGCTTGACTCAGTTCATCCCACTCTGCCTTTGAAGCTTCTGTCTCCTCATGAAGAAGCTGCTTCCAGCACAACAAACACCACCGTCAGTCATCACAGCTACAAGGTCCGAACCAGACTTCAGTATGAACCATGCTCGTACTACAGCTTTACATTTTTATTTCATCAAAATTTGGAATAATTTACAAATATGATGACTTGGTGAATTCTCCCATTTCCTATCAAATGTGCCCGACACTGAAAAGAGGTCCTAAAAGTGCTCATAACATCTACAGCTCCATTCACTGATGAAGACTGTGTGGCATGGCTAAAGCTCCTAAACAAGCTGGTGAACGGTCCTGGAGTCAAAGGTCAAAGGCCTGAAATGTAATGAGCAGGGTTTTAGGGAAACGGCTCATCGTTACAGATGGCTATATGTTACTGGAGCTCTGCCTCCTGGAGATCTTCAGTTGTATGTTTATTTGCTTTTTACTGGCACTTGATGTGTTGATGTGTTCCCCATGTATTGACATAGGTTTGTGTAAGTTTCCAATAAATGACAGAAACATCAATTCTTGCTAATGCACAAGAGGAGAAACAACAAATCTACTGGACTGTAGAATATTTTTTATTGTAGTTAACAGACCATGACATGAAAGCCACCAGTCTGGCCCTTTAATACTTTTAGTAAAGGTCTTCAAAGCAGCCACAACAATTTAATTAATTTATTTAGTATATAGACAAAGACAATGTCTGGCTTTACTATTTGTACAGACTTTCAGTTTGAGAACAGTCAGGTTCAGTCCTACCTGCAGCCTTTGATGGATCGCTATCTGTGCTTGAAGGGAGAGTTGAGGGCTGCACTGATTGAGGGTCTGAGATGTTCTCAAGGTTTTCAGCATCATCTCATTCAGGTTTTTCTCCACGCTATCCCACAGCTGCTGAGCCCGAATGAGCCGAAGTTTCACTGATTCTTTCTGTAAAAGACAAAAGGCTGGTCTGATAAGAGGGAGACCCAGGCAAACATCTACACCACAGGACCATGCACCTGTTCACGTTAGAACTAAAGTAAGTTCAAACTCAGAGCCTGAATAAATTCAGCATACTTGTCATTTCTAATGTTACTGTTTGCTCATGTTATTTTTTCCAGTAAACAGTTTTTGCTGATGGGTGACTTGGCACCAGAACAGTCATACAACTTGTACAGCCACAGTATCTTCTACATACATTATATACTTACCAGTTGAGCGAGAGCCGTGCAGGCCTGGATGGATTCATCTGTCTGAGCGATCAAATCACAGCTGCTGTTTCCTTGTGTGTCACAAAGCTTGTCTCTCAGCTCTCGAAGAGCTGCCGACCTCTGCCTGATCTTCTCCTCCAAGTCCTGACACAGATGCAGGGGAAGATTCATAAACGGTACTGATTAAGTCTCACGACCCTTTGCAGACTTAAAAAAACCGGATACGTAAGTTTCTGTATTTCTTTGCCACAGCTTTCAGTGAATCTGACTCTTAACAATTGAAATACGAAGCTTGGTCCAGGGGTTCTGATTGTTCCTATAGATGTGACCTCTGACCTGACAGGTGCTGATGCTCCTCTGCAGCTCCATTTGGCTGCTGGGTGTCTGAGCTGAGTTGATCCAGCTGTTCTGCTCTGTGATCCAGGTGTTGGTTTGCAGCAGTCGGGCCTCCAGCTGCGCTCTGCTCCTCAAATCTAGCTCCACCTCCCGAACCTGAACACCCCATACCCCATCAGCAGGTCAGACTCATTCTTCTCAAGTTCATGGACTGAATAATATTATAAAGGCTTATAAATTACAATAGTATCTCACCAAAAGAAAGAATTTTAATCATGAACACATTAAAAATAAAAGAATAATCCAAATCAAGCAAAGAGTAGATTCACTTTGGTAAGTTTTGTACATTTAATAAAATCTTATAAAACGGTTTTCACTGTTACTTAAGGTCCTAAAAGTGTCACAGCCCCACATAACTGAAATGAGATGTTTTTAAATGTTTAGAATAAAGTAGTGCTTGCTCTGCTATGACGTCCGGATTATGCTACAGACGTGATGGAATCTTGATAAAGTTCGATAAAAACTGTGATGTGGATGAAAGCTACTGAAGGTAAGTGGGCGTTGAGTTGGGTTTATTTGTCCAACTATGTCCAAGGTCTGCTGGACTTTAATGCTCCAGCCACCAAGAAGTCCTGAAGTTGCTATGGATGAAATCCTAAGAGCTACTGAGTTTTCATGTACACAGACCCACATCCCTGAAGACAGAGTGAAATCCACCCACTGATGGAGAAACTAGCGAGTGAACCCTGGGCTGTATTGTCACAGGCTGTCGTTTGATGTCTGACCTGAGAGTTGAGGGTTTCCTGCAATCTGAGCCACTGATGGTTGAGACAGCCCTGGTCCTCTGCAAACTGGTTGTGTTTATAGCGCTCCCTATGGTCGTCCTCAGTACTACAGGCCCATAACGACTGGTTCACATAGTCCAGTGTGGCCTGATGGGCCGACGTCTCAACCTGACACTCCTGGGAGGAACACCATGAATAGATGGAGAGGGAGACAGAGTCAGTCAGCCAACCAGATGTCTACCTGCGCCTCAAGAGTGTTCTCTGGTGCAGTACTCAACAAAGCACTAAACCCCCCACCACTAGCAGAGCAAGCAGAACATTTGTGGCAGTGCATCAGTCCACCTTGCAGTATTTCAGGAACTGTGTGAGATCAGCACTGGTGGAGGATGTTTGGTTGATCCTGCTGCGATGCTCCTCCAGCAAAGACTCAGCAGCTCCCAGCCAGGCCTGCAGCTCCAGTAGCGCCCCCTGCTGGGTCAGCGTCTCGACCCACCGCTGAGGAGGAGGAAGAGCAACAAATAATGTCAGTAAAATTACCAACAGAGTCAAGACATCTGTTGACTGTTTTATTTGAGTGTTTTAGTCTTTGTAATATTTGGTTTTTACTTCATTTTCTTCATCATGGTACTATAAAGTACTTTAAAAGCTCTTGGATTCTCAGCTTCTGAAAAAGTAATATCCAGCCTGTGCAGCCTCATTAACACCGGAAACAATGCCAGCACCCTGAAAACATTAAAACAGGGTCTTCAGTTGTAAATGTTTTCTACCTGCTGAAATGAGAAGTGATTCTACCTTGTGATGATTTAAAACCATACGTACTACACTTATTTATGATTAATATACATTTTCTGTGGGGAAAAAGGCATAAAAAGAGAAAGAAAGGTTATGAAGCTGAAGAGCAGGCAGAGCAAACTGAGGTGGAAGAGAAAAAAGGAGCAGAAAATAATAAGAACAACAGGAGATGAGACGGGCTGAAGAAGAGGGATAAGAGGAGAGCTGAGAGGTGAAGAGGTTTAAAGAAAAGACAGAAAAGAAAAAGAGCGTGAAGCAGAACAGAGACAGTGAGGGTGACAAGAGTCCTGAGGACTGCACAGTGGGGAGGCTGAAACTAATTGCTGCCTGGACGACTGCGTTGTGGTCTTCGAAATACCACACTACTCTGCACAACGCATGTGAGCAAGTACAGGCTGAATTCAGCTACAACTCCTGACATTTAGAAAAGTATGAATTCCTCTTGTTATTTTGGTCAGTGTGGATGAAGAAGCCTGGACTGGATGTTCATGGTCCTGTTCCGTTTGGCAAAATCTGTCTGTAATAACATTAAGTTAAGTATGCAGATGTAAAGCATTCATCTAAAATTAATATATAAACAATACTTATATAATACCAATATAAACACTACATAAAACGATCACACAGTTGAACCAACACCTCTAAAGCAGTTTGAACACAAACTGAACACCATGGAGGAGGAATTACCGTCGGATTCGACTGACTCAGTTTGAGACAGGGGTTCCTAATAAACTGACAAATCGATGCAATTACTTTATGGAAGTCACATCCTTACCTTATGCAGGGTTTGTTGGACAACAGGAACATCATCCAGCAGACTGGACCAGTCCAGCTCTACCTGTCTGAGCTGGGTGTTGACGGAGCACAGATTCAGGTCTGAACTCTGGGAGAGCGGAGCAGCCTGGTCCTCCAGGCTTCCATCGGAGTGTCCATCTGCTTCCCACATCTGGACCAGCTGGGTGCCGGCACCAATCACTGAGACCTTCAGTTCAGTTTTGGCCTCCAGATCTTTGGTGAAAGCCTAAAAAAAACAGGCTTTGTTATATTCTGTTCCTCAGTAACACAAAAGTGAGCATAGTGCAGACATTAACTAACTGACCTGATACAACATGATCTGGCATTATCAACTCACACTGTCCAGTGGTAGGAGTTCCTGACCACGGACTAGTTTAGAGCTCTTTACTTCTCTGAATCCAGTGCAGTCCAAAATAAATCAGGGCTTGGATGAAACCGGTGTTACACAATGCAAAAGGAAAAACTAAATTCTAATTCATACTAATTAAAGTATACATTTGAAAATGATTGACATGTATAAGAATCTGGACAGGTTGAAAGGATTTCTTCTCTCTTAGGAGTTTGTTATTTACAGTGAGTACTCACAACACACTGGAGGTACTGGCCACGCCACTGTTCAGCATCCGTCTCCTCACTGGCTGCGACCGAGAGCCGGCTCCATTGGTCAGTCAGCTCTCTGGCCATGGCCATCCAGTCAGCCAGTACGGCAGAGTCACGGAGAAACCTGTTTATTGGTGAACAATAATGAGTTCAGGTTCACACGCCACAACAACATCCGACTGTTGTATTTTGTTTTGATCACAATGTAACCCACCCTGCTAAACCAACTACTAAAGCTCTGACATCTCAGTGAACATAAAAACATTTGATGGTTAATGGACAGAACGTCTTCAGTGTAGAGGCAGAAGTGGTCCTGACTCTGCAGGGAGAACAGTGCTCTGTCGTTCTCACCTGCTGCTCAGGTCCCGTTTTCTGCTGATGTTGGTGTGACCTTGTTCTACTCTCCTCTGCAGAGATCTCCAGCGTGCCTCCAGCTCATTGGTGGGCACAACCACTGCTCTACAGCCCAGCTTCATCAGTCGGTGCCCCCTCTGCAGCATCCGACTGAACCGCGCCTCGTTCGCCTTCAGAACACCACCCAGCTCCTAACAGGCAAACGCAATATTCACACTGCGACACAAGTCGACACACAGACAAGTTCATTCCTGCACTGGTACAAACAGATACATGCTCACACAGCTTAACACTGACACGCAGGGAGAAACCATGCCACATCTTCATCCTGTCAGTCTCTGCTCGTCAGGTTCAGCTCAGTGTTATCAGACCTAGCATCTGTTAGCTGTACGTTAGCAGGACCAGCTGCACTTTGAGCTTTAGACATTCATTTATGCCATGTTAATGTAATATCATTAAAACTGTAATTACAAGCAGCGAAGTGGGAAAAACATTCACGCCAGCCTCCAATTTGGAATTCCCAGCCAGTGGTATCAGGAATTTCTGACACTGACGATATTCTTCACTTGGGGGAGAACTACAAACATGTCAGTGAAGCGATGGCAGTTTGGCTGCAAAGGCAGGTGGAGGTTACATCAAAACAACATCCAGTATTATCACTAATACAATCACATTTCATAGAATGTTGAGCCTGACCATGTAAAACTGAGAGATCCTCTCACCTTCTGTGGCCTCTTAGTCTTTTCTTTACTATATACACACTTTGTTGAGCATTGGACAAACTGCAACACCTCAGAAGGACAGAGACACATTTCTAGCCCCACAGCAGGGCAATAAAGGACATGTACCAAACCGAACTGTAGCTGGAAGTTTCTGCTCAGCTAATAACTCACATTAAAGCCAAGGAACATCGTGTATACCAGCTGAAAAAAAACCCTTTATTGAGCCATTTAGGTTTTGAATGCAATCCAAAAGTACAGCATGAAGAGGGCACACAACCATCTCCACATGAGCATGAGAGAACACTGTTAATGTGCTCTGTCCTCCAGTCCGCCGCCTGTTGGTACATCGAAATCATCTGATCACAATTACCTGGTATACAGAGAGCTTATCTGACACATGCTCCTCAGAATCGCCCCCCTCGTGCATCTTGGGAAATGAAGTCTTGATGCCTCTCAGCAGGGAGTCTGACCAGGCACTGTCCTCCTCCCACTGTGACCACATCTGAGACAGAGGAGATGCCTGTTATTAAATCAAAGCTGGTTACAGAATTTCTCATAAAGTTTCTAATGAATTTGGATAAAAATTTGGTCAACGGATTACTCTATACTGTATGTTTGAAATGAAAACTCTTCTATGCAACAAACATCTTGTCACATTAAATTTAGCAGTTACTGTACTGCACAGTAACAGCCACATTTTACACTACTGCTAATTTCAAAAGTATTTATGTACATCTTTCCCGTTCCATGCTTTCACAGTGGAATCACTGGGGCTGGCTTGTGCACCCTCAGTGCCTGGGACTTGTGCACAGATGACACAGGGTGACACAAACAGGAATAAATCAGAAACACTGAACTGATTGGGAAAGTGTGTCCAGACCTTTAACTGGTAGAGTGCATACAGTCTTCACTTGGTACTGTAGCTCTCTGATCACTTTGTCATCTTTGTCTTCGACTCTTAAACATAGTTCATATGTTTGTTTTTTTTTACCAATACAATGATTATTATGATTAAAAGTTTGCTTTATTTAATTCTTACTTAATTCAACTGCATTGCTTGCACTACCTGCAATGTTTCCTGCATCCTGGTGCCCTTTTCCAGTCCGTGCTGCTGCAGTTGGGCCACCTTATCCTGCAGACCCATTACTACACCCTCCCACCTCTGGAGGGTGCTCTCTGGCAGTCTCCAGGTTAGGTACTGCAGGATCCTATAATGATGGCCCAGGAACTGGAAGAACTTCTAATCAAAGAAAGGGCACATAATGTTTTTAGATGCCAAAGCACTCCATACTGCTCCAAGCTAAACGTTCTCTGCCTCCCAGCGACTGACCGTGTGTCTGCTGAGCTGCTGCTGGAGCTGGGCCCTGCTCCGGAGCTCTGTGTCAGGCTGCTGCGTGAGGCGTTCAGAGCCCAGAGTGAGCAGCTCCTCATAGCTGTGGACAAGCCGCTCATACTGATGCTGCGACTCCACGCTGCTCCTCAGCTCCTCACAGCGGGAGCGAACACCACCCAGAGCAGCATCCAGGTCCTCCTGCACACAGGAAAGACACGCACTTTGAAGAGTCAAACATGCTTGTGGCAACAGAACCCCCTCTTATTTAGGAATAAGTGAATAAGCTTCTATGCTTACACCATAAACGTGCTAAATTTCTAAACACCTGACCCAGGGATTAAATCCAGCTGCTAGCACACCTGTATCTGCGTGGTCTGGTAGAGGACAGAGGCAGACAGGTGGTGTCGGTCAGCCTCATCCAGCAGGGCTTTCACCTGCTCAGCCTGCTGCTGCAGACACCCCTGCATCTGAACTGCAGCCTAGAAATCAAACACATGCACACTGTGACAGATAACAATGTCACAACTGTGTGTTACTGACAGAGTGTTATAGACTTGTTAAAGGACTCTTCTGAACTCGTGTACTCTGCAAGGTCTCTGTCAACTTGCCAAGTTGTCAAGTCCTTAACAGCATAATCAGCAACTTGTCAATACGTGATATTAAAATGTCACAAGAACAATAAATGCTGATCTCCCTTTGTCCTTCAGCTGATTTGAACCTTTTCACTATCTCTGGACTCATATTCTCCCCCATTCATTTGCCCCTCATAACGCATGTTATTTAACCTTTTGGTTGGCTAATAAACATGTCCTTCTCTAGCGGCTTTCTAGTAGTGATGTGCGGATCGATCAACAGAAAGCAATTACACTATCACCAGTACAGTCTAAGACCCAGCTGACTGGAACTACTTCTCCTTTCGCCTGTCATAGTCATATGCTGTAAATGTCGTGGCCACTGAGAATCAGAATAAGAAAAACTTTATTAATTTCCACAGGAAAATAGCTTTGTAACAGTTGTTCAAGATTCTGGAAGTGTAGTCTGTAACTGTCCGTGCAGATTCTCAGTCATCCAGGTCATAGTACAGAAACAACCCCTAATGTGACAAGAGAGGCAATATTTTGTTGTTAATAAAACCCTTATAATACACCTCATATCTTATCACCAGCCCGGGTTTCACCTGGTATCGAATCGGAAAGGAATTAAGTGGCATCGAACATCAGCAGTTCCGATTTGATTTACCTGACCTTTGACCTTTGCTGAGTTTACTCTGAGTTCTGACAATAATGACAGAGACAGGTGAGCTGTCATCACAGAGATGATGACAAAACACGATTTCTATCTTCTGAATTCAAACTCTTATAACCAAACAGTTCACTCAAATTCAGTGCATCTGTAATACGAGTATGTTTTGACAGTAAAGTGATACCTGTAGTTGTTCATTAAGGCCCAGAGTTCCACTCAATTCATTAATTATGTGGTGAACAGTTGGCCGGTTAGAGGTGAAGGCTGCATGCAGCTCTCTGAGGTTTCTCTGTTGGTTAGACAGACAAAACTGGTTCTGTTAATGGCTGCATACAAACAAATGGCTTCTTGTGAACAGACAAGAAAATGGTATTTCCATTTTAAATAAGAGGTAAATAAGGTAGGAACAAGGCAGACTCATTCATTATGTAGTGGAGGTGAGTTACTAAGTTAAGGTATGGTGACAAAAGACAGTAGGAAACTCACAGAGGTCATCAACAGTAATTTAGATAAAAATTAAGTCAAACAGATACTTCAGGGTCGGCTGGTGTGTTCTGGTTCCTGCCTGTGCAGTTAAACACGAGTTAGTGATGCTCTCTGACCTGATGCTGTTCAATCTCCTCTTGCAGGTTTTGGAGCTGCTTCTCCCTGCTCTTCAGTGCAGTTTGGAGCCCGGGCAGGATCCTGCTCAGGTCCGCAACACACCGCTGAGCAGAGTCGGACCCCAGGACATCACTGACCTTTGACCCCAGGGTAAGCAGCTCGCTGCCCAGGGCGGCCAGCTCTGCTGACAGTTGCTAAAGGGAAAGACAACAATCCCGTTCAGCAGCGCTTCTGTTTTTTCTGATGTTTTTGTTGGACAAATGTGTACAAGGTCATTCGAGCTTGGGTGGCACCAAATAAACCAAGTGGCAATGCATTTCACTTTGGGCTGTGACTAATCATTGTTAACGGTTCATTTGAAGTGTCTGTGTGGTCTACAAATGATTAAGAAATTGAAACATAGGAAATGGATGCTGTCATCTGATGAGTAGCTGTTTCTTTGTCTGAAGCAGAATCTGTGATGGACAACTAGGATGTACTGTCTTTTTTTCTGATTTTGTTTTCGGTATCAACTTGGAACTGAATTAGTCTTTATGCACTGAAACAAAACAGGGCTGTATTGTACTGTGTCCTTGCTTTCTTCCTTTTTAACCTAGATTAAAGGGAAAATGTTGAACATTTTTGAAGAACAGCTGATAACAGGTGATTGATTATTTGATAAATAGAAACTGCATATATCATCATGACTTTATTTGTTTTGTCCCATGATTTGTACTTTATGAATGTGAACTGAATATCCTTCCTTTGAAACGAGATAATCCAAAAGAACTGAAGTACTCTGAGTGTATGGTGCAGTGAGGAGGGAGCATCACCTGCAGCTGCAGCGACCACAGATGAGCGTCTTCACCGTGCATCGTCCCAGCAGGCGAGTGCAGCAGGTTGTTGATGGAGGACAGGAACAAGGATGCTCCGCACAGCACATGGAACAAACCCTCATCCAGGGTCTGACGGGAGCCCTCCACAGAGGAGACCTGGGGTCACACGGGTTAGTCAGACTATCAACACAAGTATTCGCTCAGTCAGATGGAAATTATGCTGTTGCTTTTTCTCACTGATGTCATGATACATTTTTTGTCAAGAGATGTTCAACACAAAACAACATGAATCAGGAGGAAGAGGAGTTGGAGGACGAGTATCTAGAAGCTAGTATCTCTACACTGCGGCCAGTTCAATGAGTCTGGGTCCCAGGAGGCTTGGACAGCACCTCTCAACATTAGGACATGTTTTGGAGCAGATTTCTACAACAAAACTATTTGAAAAAAAAAAAAACTACATAGTGAAGCTTTAAGTGCAAAACTGCTTCACGGAGGAGCTGGAACAAGCTCATAGAGCAGGTGGTGCCTTCTCTATGTTCTCTGTAAGCGAAAGCTACTTAAGAGGGAAATTAAAAGTGGAAAACTGCTGGAAACACTTAACGGCTGATTTGGGAACATTAATAATGTCTAAATAAAATAAGTCCCATGGTTTCAACTGAAATGAAACTGGCGTGTGCAGACGCCAGCTCTTGCACAATATGTTTACACACTGTTTGCTGTGAATCAATCAGTCTCTGCTACTGCAAATGCAAACCACGACTACTGAGTGTAAATACATGGCAAAGGCAGAACAGATGCCTACCATAAATAACATTTAAATTTGGGTTGGATTAGATGAAATCAGAAGGATTATAACTTTAAGGAGCTAATCATCATCTTGCAATGCCACTGATTTATCTGGCAGGTTTCCTGAGAATGTCTTCAGTCCACGGGTCAAATGTCATGACCTAGATATTCATGGGTAAACAGCCATGGTATCAGCTGCTCACCTGACTCAGAAGCTCTGCAGCTTCATGTCCCAGCTCTCTCACGTGATTGATGTGGGTTTGCAGCTCTTTCAGGCTTTGTGTGCCAATCATACATCCTGCTGTCCCATCAGTGCGCCTCACAGATGAGTCTGTCACCTTCAGAGAGAGAGAGTCACATATACAGAGAAGTTGGCACATATAAGGAGAGAGAGGAAACCATCAGGAGAGCAGTCAGAGACACAGAGGACTCTTAATAAACCCCGCAGGAGTTCCCCTCACACCAAAGACACAACAAAGTGGCTTCTGCTCAGAGAAGGTGATAATCAAGTGCGGTGAGACCACCGATTTTCTTTCCTTTTTGTATCTGAAAAGTGATAATCAAGCACTTCAGCGCTCGTGATGAGGGCTTTACCTCAGAGGGAGGAAGCAGCCAGCTCTCCTCCACAGCCAGAAGCCGACTGTGAAGGTGATCCCACTTCTTCTGAGCAGAGTCCTCCTCCGCATCGGCCTCAGCAGGAGCCGGGCTGCAGGCACAGAAAAGGCTGAAAATTAATACTTCACTTCATTTCATGCTCCTTTCTCCTATTTTCCTTTCATTCTCTCTGTACTTCGTGGCGGTGGACCCGAAGTGTCTGCTCACGTTCCTACTAATCTCCCCAAATTGGGAAATGGATATAAAATGGAACTGAGTCAAAGTGAAAGAGTAAAACAGGAAATAAATTGCAAACATCTGCTGTGTTGTACATGTCACTCATTACTGTATACAAAGAAAAATATAAGTATGTTGTAACTAAATACCTTTTTACATAATGAAATAACATTTTCTAGAACTGAATATGTTTTTATTGCTAAACAAGGCTGATTAGAATTAAAGAGGCCAGTTCCATCTGTGTGAAAATTCTGAAACAAGCTGCAGCATTGTTTTTAAAAAGACATTTTAGACATTAGATTGGATATGAGACTATTGACAGAAGAAAAGAGAAAGGAGGGTAGACACACTGTAGACAGGACAAGGTTGTGTTTACACCTATGGACACAAAGTAACTGTTGTGTTGAGCATACACTATATATTTGTATTCTAGTCTTACACTTTTAAACATTTCTTTATTTTGGGTGCTGTGATTTTGGTAATCACTGCTGTTGCTACCGGATACCTGAGTTTCCCTGGAGATCAATAAAGTATCTATCTATCTCCTGAGCTCCGACTGAACAGCTGTAGTCTCAGTACTACAGTACGTACTGCTACAGACCACACGCCACATCATTCTTATCTTTTAGGTCCCGGCAACTTGTTAAAGACACATCGTAGACCAATGTGAAACTGGAGAGTGTGGCAATAGGTTTTTCCTCCATTTAGTTTAAAAGCCCTTCATATAGTGCAGTGGAGCAGTAAACGACTCTGCACCTGGGTGGTGACTGGCTCTCGCCCGGCTGTCACACGCACTGCGCCACAGCTTATTTTCATAAAGTTGAGTCTTTTCCAACTTCCCCCTTTACTGAGGCTGTGTGCTTTTTGAACCTGTGAGGCTTTGTGCAAAGCCACGTCTCATTCACAGTGAATGGCAGCTGTCGCTGAGCCTTGTGAATCCATACCTGTGAACATACTGTAACACATGCAGCAAAAGTACCAGGGATGTTGTTGTTCACTGTCAGCACATTAACCATTAAGACGACAATATTAGGATGTCAGGATGGACATTTTCTACTATGCAGGGAAAAGCTGGGGGAAAATAAACTAAAATAAACCCCATGTATGTGGTTTATATAATGCTTAACATATACAATATAGAGCAAGGACACCACTCATATGTCATTATATACCATGGTGAGAGTTGGCTATGGCCGTCTGGCTCCTGGCTGTGAAGTCGGGCCCTGCTGCCCTGCCGAGCGAGGGCATGAGTCAGTCCTCTCTGCTCCGTCAGCATCTGCTCCAGCTCCTGCACAACAAACAAAGCATATCATGTTTACAAACCCTACATGTGTAGCAATGGTGTCAGCATGCAGTGAAGTCTGGATGCAGGTGGGGCTTTGCTACACTGACTGTTGTGTTTCTGATGCATTTGAATTGAGCTGCTGGTTTGAATGTAGAGCAACAAAGCTGGAGGGTAAAAGTGAAAAACTACCACCACCTGAATAATAATACCAGTTGTACCAGTTTGCTCTTTACATTGAGGTTGGCAGTAGTTCCCTTCCTCACCGCTACAGACAAAGTCTCTGAGGTTTTATTTCAGAGTAATACACAGTTTTGGATTTTGCTCTTTGTGCTCCCGTGACAAGCTCCAAACTCAGGGAGGTCATGTTTAAACAGTAGTTAGAGTCCAGACCTTCTGCTGCTGCAGGCTGCTCTGCCTGAGGAGCTTGTTTCTTGGTGAGGAGAAGAGCTCCTGAACACTGCAGCTGCGCTTCAACTTAGACTCCAGGGGACGCTCAGGCTGAGGCACCGACTTCTGAGGAGCAAGAGGTGAAGAAGAAACACAGAGGGAAACATGAACAGGTTCCTCTTCATCATCACCAAAAGTGTAGTTATGTTTTGACTAAAAAAGTCCTCAGCATCACCAGTTTCATCATTAAGAGCAGCGTTAGGAACTCACACTAACATGACACTCGGCTCATTTACTTTTCACTACATGCTGTGGTTTCCCTCTCACAGACTGCATGTACACACCTGCTCCAGTGACTCTCTGCGGTCGGTCGTCCTCTCCTCCTCCTGTCTGTTCTGAAGAAGCTGCTGAAAGGAGATCAGGTTGACCTTGAGAAACTGCAGTTTGGAGAAGAGCAGCTCAGTCACCTCCTGCTGGGATCCCACAGCTTCCAGTTCATCCTGCTGCTGCAAACCAGCAACCTGACTGAGCGATGACAGGCTCGCCACCTTCTGCTCGATCTCCAGGAACATCTCCTACACAACAACACAAACACACTAGTTTATTCAAATTGGACACAAACATCCATTTGGACTTGAGGACGAACTGATTACATTTTAGTGGTCAAAAGTCAAAGGTCACTGTGACTTCATGTCTGTCACATTCTCATCAACACAACCTGTGAGGAACACCCGAGGGGAATTTCATCTCATCTGCAACTTGACTGGTTGGAGGGGGTGTACGATCACGAGGCTGTGATCCTGATCTGATGAGTAAAACACTTACTGCTTAAGTACAGGGGGCAGCACAGTGACATTGAAGCAATTATTAAATACGTCGTCCAAAAAGCCTCAGTCTAAGATCGTTCTCTGTGCAGTTCATGGCTGAGAGTCTCAGTCTCAAGGACAAAGCTTCTGTCTTGGTGGTTCCACCTCTTAAATTACCACCAGACACACCCAGTTTTTATTTTGCTCTCACTTTTGCTTTTGATTCCTTTACTAAACCTTTACACTCTCTTTCAGCTCATTCTCTTTCTGGCACCATTGTATTAAAATCAAAAATGTGCTGTGTATGATGTTAAAGTTGGGCTCTGTAGTAAAGATGCCCACAGAGCTTCATTCAAAAGTGACATGTGACTGTGGGACATGTTTATCCTCTGAAACTTTAATGGAGGGTCGAGTTACGCTCTCAGCGTCACAGCGAAGGAAAATACCTGCACAGCTGTGAATAAAAGCCTAGTGATAAAACCTGTGGGGCCACGATTCTATTGACTGAACACTATTATACACAAGCTGAGTCTTGCAGATCCTCAAACGCCAAGTATCTGAGTACATTTCTGAAGTACTTTGCATGGGCACTTTGTTTTTGTGAGCATTTCTACTTTGCCTCACTACACATATCTGACAGCTGCTATGCAAAATCAAATGTTACAGTCAACATGAAAGGAGATTTTAAAAAATCATGCATTTTAGACATTTTGTAAACAATTTTTAGAGAGTTCACAAAACCTCTAAAGCAGCATGTAGTGTAGTTGTTCAGGTGATTGAGAAAAACAAAAAGACAGAAATAAACAAACAAGCTTTTTTTCTCACCAGTCTCATTGGTTTCTATAATTCTGGCACTGTCCACCTCTGACATGATGGACGTTTCTGCCTGAACACGAATATATTGGATGCAAAATCTAATTAAATATTGCTTTTGCATAAGACAATCATTCACATAATGACTAAGGCTAAATGTAATGACAAAAGTATAAGTGAATATTTAAGCTTCGATTTAAAGTATAAATTCTAGTGTGGAGTTTTTCACATCAGCTTAACTGTATTTTATGTTCTGGTCAAGAGGAAACCTGCACTGGATTAAACTGGACAGAACACCTGACTTGTTGATCTTTGCCGGGTTGGCCACCACCTCCGTGGCCACACTGCTCCCTCAGAGCAAATAACAGCAACACTTAGTGTCTGATAAACTGAGCTCTGGTTTGTTTTCTGGGTTGACAGTTGCAAAGGGTAACTAAGGTAATCATCACCATGCATAATATCTGAAACTTTACAAAGTGCGACAGCGTCAACAGATAAAAAAAAAGCTATAAAAAAGTTTGAACATGACCGTTTAGGTTTAATGTTTTAATGAAAGAGTTTTATTTTACATTCCCTCCAGCTGTGGTTTGAAGGGACAAGTAAACTTTATGGGTAACAAAATCAGAGCAGGAGACGGTTTACAAACTCACTGAGACTAGTTGAGGAAAGTTCTGACCTGGCAACAAGGAAGTGACAATAAAACCCAGCAATTAATAAGGACAGTCTGTGTCCAGGAGCAGTGGACGCCCACACCCAGGTGGGGCATTTTAGAGGCATTAATCCTAAATTCTGTCACTATTCAGACTCTAATTTAAAAGAATCCAATTAAACATTTAAAAAATCAATTAATGGTTTATTAAATGTGTGCCATATTAGGCATTGGTAGGTTTTTTTTTCTTTTACAAAAAATTGTTCAAAAAAAAAAAAAGAGGCTTTTCAGTTTCAGTGTGTGCAGTCCTGTCTGTGAGGATCACAACTCAACATACCTGGTGTTTACGTGCTTTTAACACAGCGACACGATGATACTCACTGAACAACTTTAAGATTTTAGCTCAGGTGTCTTTGTGTTCATCTGACACCATTCACAGCTCAACCTGCTGCAGCTGAATGCACCAGATACAGCACATAAATGTGACATTTGTTGTGAGTCACTGTCAGCATTATTGTGTTATTATCCGCAGTGAGACAGTGAACACAAACAGATCACTGACCTATGACTCAGATCAATAACATTCAGCTGCATGTCTGCTCACAGACATGTAAACACATCTTAAACAAACTTCACATTCTGAGCCGGTGAACTTTGGTGCATGTAACCTGACATGTTGAAAGTTATAACATCATACAAGAGATTGTAATAAACAATATGGGAAAGAAATCTCAACCTCTGAGCCAAAACATTCCAGGCCTGTGGTTTCTTAACTGTGTTATTTCAGCAAAGAAATAAGCAGCGTGAGCTTGGAAAGGCCTCAAGAGTCGTACTTTGCTCTTGAAATTAGACTTAAACATTAGTCGTCGTATGAGCTGACCAGAGATCTGTGATAGTTGCTATTATTAGTTGCTAATCCCCCACAGCCAGAGGATAATGTCAGACTGATAAACTTGTTTAATCAGTGGCAACTCTAAATCAGTGCTACTCCTCCTGAGTCTAAAGCTCAGACTTTAGTACATTTATGAAACTCATTTGGTTTTGTTCCAGTGACCTATTCACTGTGTTTCAGTGTGTATTCAGGACTTCTTCAGGTTAAACAACTCTTAAATGTCCACAACTGCTGACCCTCCACCATTTTTATCTAGATGTCTTTTGACCTGGGGGTGATTCAATCCCCAGGAGGGGGGCAGGGCCTACCTGGCAGGTGAGGAGTTGCTGCTCCACGTTGTCCTGCATGGATGATGCACCGGCAGTGGGCTGTCTGCAGCCACAGCTCGAGCTGTCCGACCCTCTCTAGGCAGGCATGGAAGACACGTTCACCGGGGCAGGGGCCAAACTGAGGCCCCGGCTCCTCGGGTCCCTGGGACACACACACAACACATCTGGCTGAGCCTTCCTGGTCCAGGGTCACAGGTAGAGCAGGAGAGAGAGAGGGCGGGATGAGGAAGGAGCTGAACCGGATCCTGAGTCGAGTGTAGCTCTGAGATGTCTACCTGAACAGACTGTAGCTCTATTACTGATCTACACAGGCGATCCTGAGCTGTAATCCTACTTCTCACACTGCCACGTCCAGTCCCTTTCCCCTGCCTGGGTGTCTCTGTCCTCTTTCTTTCCCTCACTGTTCCACCCACCTGTGGCTGAAACCACTTCCTGGAGTGGTGGCAGGGCTCCAGTGACAGCGACGCTCTATCACAGGAAAAACAAGAGTGACAGCAAAAGAAAAGAGGCCTTAGGCCGCAGGGGTGGAGCTGAGACAGAGGGCTGGGTGAGTAATCACTAAGCACACAACACAAACACTTTACTACTTCCTCATGAAACAGATAATGCTGTTTGTAGCTGTCAATCATCTGTCAAAACTTTATCTGTAGGTGTTAGTGACCTTTATGTTTTATTTTTCTCTGCTTGGGAGTTTTAAAGCCTTGTTTAGTCTGTAAAACGGAACTATTTTGCGCACATGGACTGAAAAGTCCAAAGCACAGAATATAACTACAGAGGTGAACACCAAGAGTCAACAAACCTGCTTTGTCAGGATTAATCACTGGACTCATTCACCAGGCGCTGATGTCACCAAGATTAAAGTGAACGTTAGGAGCACTCTGTTTGTTAAAACATCTCTGTGCACAGTCTGTGCTCGTAATTCACACAAATGACCCATTTTTAGTATCTTTTACCTTTAAATAACTTAATTTGTTAATTGAAATCAATAATGTGTGACTCAAAGACTGAAGTAATTGTCTGCTCCCTTTAAGCTGTGGTGGCTTAAAGGTTAAAGACCAGAGGGTCACAGGTTCGATTCCTGGGTGGGACAGGTGACAAAGCAACGCTTGTCTCACCCTCACCAACACCACGGTGGTGCCATTGAGCAAGGCCCTGAACCCCCATGTGCTCGTGGAGCTGCTCAGTGGTTGTACTGGGCTGCGTCCAGGTGTGAATGTGAGCAGGGCGTTCCTGCAAAAGAGAGGTGGCCCCTCAGTGGCCCTACCCCGAAAAAATAAAGATAAAAAAAAAAAAAACTTTCTGCTGTCTTTAACAGCAAGTGGTTCTTAGTCCAAGATAAAAATAAAACTGTACTATATGCAAGTGGTTCACAGTGAGTGTGAGAGAGACGAGAACAAGCAAAAGGAGGGAATTCATTAAGTAATTATCTGCAACAATTTAATAATTTGGGGCCACAAATCATTAATTTAAGAGTATAAACCACTAAATTTAGGCAACAAAATGAATATGTTACACTTAGAAATGATTCATTTTAGGCTACAAATCATAAATTTTAGGAATATAATTTTCAAAATTTGCTTCCCCTGCTACCTCCTGAATATAAGCTCTCAAATATAAATGCATAACAGAACAAAAATTCATTTAAAGTAAATGCTAACGAGACCAATATACCATTGGGGTTGTTTGTGAGTAAACCCGGTGCTGCGTGCCAGGTCAAACAATAAACCAACAAGTAGATGGTTATCTAGTAATGGAACAGTAGTTTTGACAACTCAGTATCAGCAGCTTTGTGCCACCAGGTCCCACCTCTGCATCCTTTCCTACCTTTCCTACCGTTAGCTACATGTGCTTACCGAGGCTGCTGCAGGACACAGAGGCTGGAGGCTAGGAGGCTTTGTTGATATTACACCGAACTGAGGGGATGTGTGTGATTGACTGGTGGTCACAGTGGATGGTTTTTCTTCAGGACGTCTCCAGATACAGTCAGAACTGAGCTTAGTGATGACACCTCGTTGTGTTCTCATCTTACAGCTCTGAAATTCCTGGTTTCCTCACTATATGGACATGAGTATTTTGTGAGTGTGTTTTGTGCATGTGTGTGTATATATACTGTGTATGTCTTCAGCCCCTCTGGCTTGCTGTCAGCCCCCCTCCATGCAAGCCCCATCCGTCCCTTCGCGAGCTCCTGACACAGAAAAAGAGAGACGAAGGACTAGATCACTGTTGTGGGTTTATTTGTGTTTGTGCTCTTGTTTGGATAAGTTGACACAATGGAAAGAAAGGTGGAACAGTGTAGTACAGCACATGCCACGTCACGTAGGACGTCTCAATACTGCTGCATGCAGGTGAAAACTCTATCTTATCTTCTTAAACTGATAGTGATTTATTTCTAAAATGATACATGAGCCTTAAAAATCTTGCACAAGAAACATTTTTTTGATTATTTTGAGAGCAATCCCTCTAAATAAGGAATACTAAAACTGGGAGTCACATGGTTTTCACCTGCCAACAGTTGTGTGTTAATCAATAAACATGTCAAACCAGTGCATTTTCATGGCCAACAGTCGTCTTAAAAAGATCATTTTATTAATTGTGTTGTAGAGAGTGAAGGTGAATGTGCTGATCAGAACAAAACAGGAGTCTTTTTCCATCCTCTCCTGCTGCCAGGCAGTGACTGAGCAATTAGCAGTAATTACTCAGTTAATCAACCAACGCCATAAACAACAATTTATGATAATGTTCAGCTTATAGAAATACAAATGGCAGATGCATATAAGCAAGCAAACAACAGTTTATTGTAACAGATTTGCTCTGCGTTTGCTGGTACTTGAGCTCAGATAGTCAGTGAAAAGTTCATCAGTCAAGAAGCTTAACTCGTTTAATTCACCATTCCCTATATGATACATTATAAAACAAGGTTCGCAAAATGTCTTAATTAATACATTTTGTTTCTGCCTTTCACAAAAACATATTAACCAAAATTAAGGTGCATGCAAAAGCTTATTACAGACCGTTAAAACCCTTCCACCACACATGCTAAATACAGACAGTAAATAGTAATAACCATCACCTTGACAACCACTTCTCTCAGCTGCAAATACTGTGCAGTGCCAACTCGAACCACATCTCAGTGGCCACACCTGTCACTACAGAGGCAGTGGACGGACAAGCACAGTATAGCCCTTTACGTAAAGACGGAAGTGGGAAAAAGTATGTCTTTGGCACACATCTGGTTTGATTTAATTAATTACTTATTGTCATCCTCTATTTTAGTTTTCATAATTCAGAAAGTAACACTAACAAACAATCCAAACTTACAGTGCAAATAGAACGTCCACAGCGCTGAACTGTGGAGGCCAACGTCTGGAAGGCTCTGCCATGTAAATGCACTGAGGGTTAAAAGTGAGCCGTTACAAGGAAAACATGGTGGACTAGACTGGGGGCTACTGCAGCTGCTCTAGAATGAATGCACCAGGCTAATTTCTAGAAGTTAAGGCATAAGTTTGTAGAAAATGCACTGGATCTAAGAACAAAAAGTCCAGTTCTAGATTATTCTAGATGCCTTGAAACCTGAACTTGCTTCTCAAAGAGTTAAGTTCAGAGCTAAAAGTGGGTGTGACAACTAGAATAGATTCTAGAAGAAACTGATTTTCTCGGTTTGGTTAAAAAAAAGTCAAATATTCTTTTGAGGTTTTGTTTTAGGAGAAGAAAAAGTCAAGGGTTCTACAGCTGGTTTGAGAACCAGCTGTAGAAGTAGGATTGATTTGGATCTGGAAGAATTTGGGAGTTCCAACATTCCAGAAGAAAAGCAGTTCAAGGACCTGTTCTAGAAGAATTTGTTTAAAAGGTTTCTCTATAATCCTTAAAATCTAGGGTTGGTTTTAGAGGACATTGGCTATTTTCATTCTGTGGAAAAAGAAATGTCTATAGGAAGATGTAAATCTAGACTTGATTCTAGGAGACACTGGGAGGTCAATGGTTTGATTTAGATAAGGCCAGGATTTCTTATATTGGTCATAGAAGTAGGTGTTCAAGATTTGGTTCTAGAATTAAGGAGTTTGCATATTTTTATTCTAGTATAAACGTTACAGCTGGTTATGAAGAATTAAGGCTAGATTTGGTAAAAGAAGAGGTTGGTGTTAGCTTAGTTCTAGAAGATACACTAGAAAAAAGTAGGGGTTCCACGATTCTAGACAACGTTCTAGAGGAAGCCTTGAAGTCCATACTTGATTCTAAAAGAATATTAAGGCTTAGTCTATACAAAGTTTGGAGATCTACCATAGGCCTTAGAAGACACTGGAGTTTGAGGTTTGGCTCTAGAAGGAATTCAGGCCAGGACCTTGGATTTTAGAATTGCCTGCTTCCAAGAGGATTTGAAGATTGTGTACATCACACTATAAGTAGAAATTTAGATTGAGAAGAAGTGAAAAGTTCTAGTTAAACAAGTTCTAGATCTAGGAAATGACACATCTCCTCTGGGACCCAGAGCTGGATTTGGAGACATTTACAGTTGAGGCTGTGTTTACCATGCTCTCAGGCAGTGACTGAGTTGTGACTGTGCCCAGGGGCTTTGATAAACCTTCAGGTGAACTTGCTTCTGTGGTGTCAGTGGGGCCCTCAACGTCCTGAAGAAACATGAGCAGGGTTAGAGGATGAGTCAGGTCAGTCAGGTCAACACACTGATCGCCTGTACTACAGGGTTACAAAAACTGTTACTGGTACACACTGTTAAGCACCTGTATTACATAATGTTACTGACATCTTTGGTTATGTGATCTTGTACGTACAGTATACTCTGCCTATTATAAAACAAGTTCAGTGGCTCTTACTGGCATTTGTCAGTATTTATAACAATTCTTATTTCTTAAGCGATTCCCCAAGCATGTGGAAGCGGGCATCAGTATGTCAATGTCAAATACTGTATACTTAAATTTTGCACTATTAGCAAAGTGATTTCGATGAGAGCCACCGAGCTGAAAGTTCAGTTACCTGGCCATCGTCTCCAGCCTGTTCACTGCTGTGTTCAGCTTCAATCTCTCCTGGGACAACGGCTACAGGGCCCTGGCACCAACAAATATTAATCAATTAATCAAAATGTTAAGTGGCTGCAGAAGAAACACCATTAGTAACTTTTCATGAATCCATTGTTATGAATTACAAACACAATCCAGAAACAGGTGAGCAGGGAGGCTGAAGAAGAAAAGAGCTGGAGCAGATTAAGGGTCAGGGAAAGATCTGAAATGATGAGTGGGGAGGAAGGTGAGGGAACTGCCATCAGCAATGTGGAGAGCGGAATGACCCAGGTCAGACAAGGTCAGAGATGATCATACAGCTGTTTCAAACTGTTGAATAGGATGGTTAGATTATTAAGAGTTATAACAGCAGGATGAGTTATGTGGTCTCAGGTGTCTTATCAATCTAACAGAACTGATTAACCTTCAAATGCTGTCCTATAATTACTTCTAGAAATCCTTACGACATCCAGTGTGGTACAGTAAATACTTCCCACTAAGTAGCGGACTGGGGTAGCAAGCAACTCCCAGGGGAAAAGGAGAGATGACCAGAAGGACAGAGAAGGAATATTGGACAGGGTTTTTCCACAGGAGCTCTCTCTTCTTTACCTGTGGATAAATGCCCAGGAAAACATCCCAGAGCCACCACCAAACACCTCCTCCACTTTCTTCCACTGTCTGCTCCTCACTCCCCTTTTTCTCTCTGGCTTCTTCAGCCTGGAGCACGCCTTCATGCTCCCGCTGCTGACATGGAAACACGCTCATGTGCAGAGTCACACGTGGTGGTCAAAAGTGCACCTGGGACACCGAGCTGCAAGCTGCGCACTGTTCCTGCTGCTGCTGTCACTGTGTGGGTCTGCACTGACAGCAGCTGTAATGCCCGCTTGTTAACCTTTACAACTTCTGAGTGCGTTTGTTCGTTAACTACCCAGACAGTTCAGAACCGTGTCCACTGATGTAAGTGAAATTTGATAAACACTTTCCTTGGACTCAAGGAAAATGGATATTATGCTTTGTTTAAGATCAAGGAATTTCCACTGCAAAATAAAACTTCCGCATGGTCTTCAATGTAAAGAAACCAGCAAACATATCCTGTGCACTCCCTGAGAGAGTTCTGTTTCATTTAGCGACACTTAGCTGTGATTCATCCAGTAAATCGCTGTTAAAACTCAGTGCACCACGGTTCTATAGCAGCAACAGTACAGCAAATTTAAATATTCCACATATTTTCCATTTAAGCAGCAGGTTAACATCAGGATGATGTGAAAATATCTCACTGCTTTTTAGCTTGATGTCCCAGTAACTGCACATTTAACAGTATGTACCAAACACAAACATTTCCAGTGTAGAAATTGGTGATACTAAGCATGCAGGGGAAAATGAATAATAAATTTGACATATTGAAATAGAACTGAATTGTTTTGCTAGTACCACAGGTAGGAGTGGTTTTACATGCATGTTAGCACCAACAACTCCACATCTTGTTCCAACACACCAGAAAGGAGCACACAGCAAACCTTTAAGAGCCACCTCTGAAGATTACAGGGGATGAGGATCTGATATTCAAAACACAGACTTTATCCAGTGATCTTCACTGAAGACCACACACTTGTAGAGACAGCGTTCGTTAGTGCGGTTATGTCTTTTAGTGTTCAGACCCGTGAGCAGAGAGAAGGATGGCAGGCTTCCTCACCTGGGTGCTGTCAGGTGTCCACAACTGTCTCTGTTCAGGTGAGGCCTGCTCCACAGTCAGCAGTTTGGCCCCAGATCTCTTCAGCACATCCTCCTCAACATGGACAATTCTGATCTTGCCCTGCTCTGTGTCCCCCTTCTGACAGACAGCACAAAGTGCAGTGTTGTTAAAGTGACTATTGCTTGTTCTTAACACATGGCGACTTCTGGGGAAGGAAAATCTTGGCAATACAGATTTTTAGGTCAATTCCAATTTTACATTTATCCTTTTTCAAAACCACTTTTAATCAGTAAAAACAGTTGCCTGACAACAAACTACAACGTACAGTTTGCACAGGGAACCAAACTCACCTCATCTTCCTCTGAGGTGGGTTTCAGGAGCTGAGGCTGAGAGGTGGTGTCCTGGGCTGACGGAGCTTTGGCCTGCGTTGGAGTCAGGGGCTGCTGGATGAACAGAGCAGGGACCTTCTACAAAAAGAGTAAAGCAATAAGCTCAGTGAAGGCCTCTTCTATAGCACTGGACTGACTGGTTGTTGATTTTTCGACTGACCTTCTCCAGTTCCAGCAGCTGACTCTGGAGCAGGTCCACTACAGTGAAGACAGTCAGAGTCTCCTCAGCCTTCTCTGGAAGACACAGGCCTGGTTTACACTTCTGGATCTCGGCCACTGTTTGTCTCATGGACAAAATCCTCTTCTCAACTGCCTGCACACGTAAGAAGGGCATTCACAGAAACAGGGCAAGATGATTAAACACAATATCATATTTCTTTTGTATTTGAGTTTGAGTCATGAAGGCATGTGCTGACTGACTCTGACTGAAGCTGAACACAGCAGTGAACAGGCTGGAGACGATGGCCAGGTAACTGAACTCTCAGCTCAGTGGCTGGTCAGTCAATCACTACATGTTGATATAAAATACTGATAAAAGCAATGCTTCTTTTCCTCATCTCACCTTGAGGCTTTCCTCTCTGGGGCTGGGGAAAGTCTCTGGAGATGATAATATAGTCTTGATCTCAGCCACATCGTTTTCCATCTTCCTGACTTTGCTCTCAATGGCCTCCACCTCCTAGAAATCAACCAACATAGGTGACCATTTACAAAACTGAAAAGCACATGAGCAGAGGGATGAGCAACAGATCTCAGAGTTCAAGGACAATTAAAAAAGAATCAAGTCTCACAGTGGCAGCGTGCTCCAGCTGAGACAGAGGAGCAGTGAAGCTGTCTTGAACACTGGCAACTTCGCGATCGGCCTCGACCAGCTGGTCCTGGAGAGCTGTGACATCGCACACCTGTGACATTTCCTGCAGGACGGAACTGAAGCCCTGCAGAGTGGTTTGGATCTGTGCTGAGTCATTCAGCACCGCCTGCAACATGAGGCAGAGAGGAGGTTTGGTTAAAAAATGTGCCGACACTCGGTACAGATTCATTAAGAGATAATAAAACATAACATATTTTCCTCAGTAGTGTAGGACGGACAGAGCACAGTTCAGCGGACTGACCTGCAGAGCATGAACACGGTTGCTCAGACATTTAGCGGTGATGTAGCTGCAGGGAGAAGTGAGCCAGGACTGAGCATCGGCTATCCAGCTCTTCGAGCTAGTGATCATCTCCTGATGCTCCTGAAGCCACGTAGTAATCTGGCCAGCAACACAAACAACATCTGGTTTAAAACCAGCATCAAGGAACCTATCAAATTTAACCAACAGCTAAAATCTGGGTGGCACAAGTCAGACCTTGCCGAGGAGGGTGGTCCTCTGCTCGGCTTGTTTGGCCAACTGAGAGTGGAACTGCTGGACCTCCATCAGTCTCTCTGTGAGGATCAGCGTCTCCTCTGGCTTCTCCAGGTCGTGCATCTTCACCTCCAGTGCGGCCAGACAGGGATGCCACACATCCAGCTCATTCCATGTACTAAGAAGTTTTATCTAGACATTATGGTGGACATCATGTATATATGATTTATAAAAGAAACAAAAAACCAAATTCCAGCTTATTTTAAACTGTGCTTACTAGTTTTATGTGTAAAAAAAAGAAGGTTACAGAATGTTAGTTACAGCCTCCTCCACGGCACCACCCACCTTCTGAGTGATCTTTGCCTCAATCACAGTGGGGCTTCTCTGATCCAGTCTCTTCTGAACTGCCCTCAGGCCAGCCTGGATCTCAGACAGATTCGCTCCCAGCCTGTGGACAGGACCACTCATCTCCACGGCCTCACCCACCTGACAGACCGATCAGGGACAAACACAACCATAAGTACAGCAGGAAACAGGTCTTTGGCTCTAGGAGAGTGTTTTACAATGTGTCTTGATCTTGAGCACTTCAGCAAAAAATGACCATATGAACAGATCTTCATCTATCTGTCATCTCTAAGGATTTTCAACAGGAGGGTGTTTCTGTCTTAGTCCTCTTGTTTCTTTTCTTATGTTATGTCTGAACCATATGCAGACTAAACCCCCATTAGAATACTGGCTCACGCAGCTAAAACCTAAATAATGCATTCTACAGAAACATGCATATCCAGTGTGTAACCCCCCTCCCTGAGCTAGTAAATCTTCCCTGAAGTTGCTTGATTGTGAACTACTGCTCTTAAGGGCCAGCATACTTTCCATTTTTCAGCTCTGGTGAAAACAGGTCTGTGTACCTTTACTTCCATTTGCTTCAGTGACTGTGCGACTTCCTGCAGGTGGCCATCAATTTCGACTGGGACCGGTGAGCCAGTGTACTTCACTTTCACCCTCTCCATGATGTGCTGCAGCAAAGTATTCTGGGTATACAGCTGGCTGTGGACCTCCTGAAAGCACAAGGACAAAATAATGTTGTGAATATGCTTTGTCTTCTGCAGCATTACTGTCAATATTTACTGAGTCTCTTTGTGATATTTCATTGCAATGTGCCTCAGTTCAGGTTTACGGGGAGAGTTTCTCACCTCCTTCAAAAGACACTTGTAAGCATAGTGTTAATCAACATAAGTAACATTTCTGTCAGCAAGGGTGTCATTTTTCAGTTGAATACCAGAAAACGTGCAGTATTTAGGAACAAAGGAACAGAAATGGATCTTATGTCCATCTCTCTGGGGCTAAATGGCTTCTAAGCTCTCAGTCATTAAGCAGTCAGCTCTCTGTCCTGTGCTGCTTCCATCAAACAGAGTCGTCCTTCAGTTGCACAATATTTAAAGCAAATGTGTTTCAACTCTACAAGGTGCTAGTTTACAATAATAACCAGCAGTGATGAGCTGTAAGCAAATGTGTCATTTACTTCCAGTATTGGTGAGCTAGTGACCAGCTGAGCTTCATGAGAATCATTAACCCACTAACTGCATTAAGGCTGAGACTGCTCACTCTGTCAGTTTGACTGTCACAATGTTAGAAATGTAGAATTTTCAGTGTGGCTGTCCAGATGTTTTTGCTGAATGTGCTCTTTATAAAAACAACAATGAGCTATGATGTTACAGTGCTTTAAGCGGCTATGAGAGAAAAGATCACACTGCACTGTGCTGAGTGAGACCTGTGGGCCCCCAGGGGTCCTTTAGGGGCCACAGTGGAGCTGCTTGCTTAAAGAGAAATACTTCATTTAACTATTCTTTCCTTTACTTATTTAGTCATGTAGATAAATCTTTGCACTGCTGAGACGAGCACAGTGTAATGGCACCAGTGTGCTCCACAGTGTAACGTGTCCACCATGAATGTATCTGGCTTTGTTCTGACACACAAACAGTTTCTAGGGCTAACCACTAGTGTCAGCTGAGGAGCATCCCACCTGTAGCTCCTGAGTGCTGCTGCTCTGCTCCATCTCTGACAGAAGACCGTCTGTGGCCTCCAGCCAGGCCTGGACGCCATGCAGCTGCTCCTGAACTTTCTCTCTCTCTTCCAGCTCCAGCTTGGCTGCTTTCAAACCCTCACTGCTCCTCTTTATCACACTGTGAAAACACACAAACATGTACATCCAGCAATCTCAAAAATCATTTCATAGACTCCTCCTTGCATCCATTAAAGTGAGAGTAAAGCCCATCATTGAAAGAAATCTTCTCATTTTACATTTGACAAGAGTGGAAATCAATATGAACAGGGTTTATTTATAAACCAACAGAAGGAGAACCTCAGATTTCACACATGTATCCAAACAAACTGCCTTTTACTATGTCTAGGACAAGTGCAGATGATGGTCTAATGAGCATGCACCTACCTTAAACTTACGAATGTGAAATCAAGAAAAGTATATGTTGAACAACAGTCACAAGGCTGGTAGCCTGCTCTTCACGTTCCAAAACTGTTTATTTATTTTTCATGTTTTACATCTGAGTAATCAAACAGCTGTTGGATTTTCTGTATTATATTTAAGTAACAAGCAAGAAACATACACACAATGATACAAACTGCCTTCTGTACAAACGTGAGGTGACAAATCAGCTTCCAAAACAGGATTTTCACAGATCATCACCAGAGCTTTTCAGTAGCATTTACATAAATAAAGTTACATAGTGCACATTAAAAAGCATCTCACCTGCTGTATCGGGCCTGCATCCCCTGTAGCTGCTGGCAGAGGGGAGTGGGCGGGGCCTGCTCCAGGTGGGCGGGGACACCCAGCAGCCTGGCAGCACGCAGTTCCAGTGCAGACAGGGATCGATGCTCACAGTCCAGTCTGTCCTGGTACTGTTCCCAGGACTGCAACAGGTCATGAAGCTCCTCAGTGGAGGCCATCACTCGCGAGGCATCAGGAAGCTCCGCCTCCACCTGCTCCAGGACAGTGCAGGCCTTCTCCATCTGAGAGGAAAGAGGGCACACATTTTAAAATGTACTTTCTGGACTGCAGTGAAGAAATGCCTATTGCACTATACCACCTCCCTGAGGCCCTTCATGTAGCTGGACCTGTACTTAGATACAGTAACTATCTCCTATAATTCTTGTTAACAGCAAGTATATAAATGTATAAACTATACAAGTGTTACTCCAAAACTTTTACTGGGGCAAACAGGCTTTCATCTGAGCATACAAATGATCTGTAATACATTTGGAAACGCTTAGTTATCCAGTTAAACCGGAAACTGGACTTGCTTGAGATTCTTTTGAAGATGTTTCACCTCTCATCCAAGAAGCTTCTTCAGTTCTGAACTCAGACCTGAATTAATTTCAGCTGCAGCTCCATTTAATGTCTGATATCATTTTGTCTCAGTACATTAAAGGAACCGACTGTGACAGGGCCTGAATTTTGGATATTTTTTTAAACTTGAAGTCAGAGACCATGTGAAGCTGAATGTTATAAATGCATCTCTGTAGCTACATTTACTTACACCATTGGTGACATTACTCCATTCGCTAATCCTCTGCTTACTACGAGCCGTCAGCTCTTGTGTGCAGTGCCGTAGTCTTGATAATCGCTTCCAGACAGCAGTCAGGGCGAGCTCCCTGCCTCCACAGCAGCTGTGCTCTGGGCACCACTCCTTCAGCTCCTGCAGACGCCTCAGAGGGGACTCCCACTCTTCAGACAGAGCCTGACAAGAATCATCAGTCAAATTATTATTTCTTTTTTTGTAAATTAAGATTTATTGTAGTTATGAGGAGAACATTTTTCAATCAAGAGGAAAGTTCCTAAAAATTTACATAAAAAAATAGGAAACAAACCAAAAAATAAACTGTTACATACTTTGAGCTTTGCCAGCTGCTCAGTGCAGTCAGCCAGACAGGTGACTTTCTGAGAGATGAGCTCTAAGAGGCTGTTCTCAACACTCTTCACACTCTGGAAGATTTCATCTTGGCACTTGATGTAATTTCTGAGATGTTCTGCACACCTGAAAGACAGAAATCCATTAATAAAAAATTATTGCTTCTATTCACATGCACAAAAAAATCTGAGCGCACAGAAGGCCACGCAGTCTAACGTTTAATGTCCTTCAGTGATCCCACAGGTTTTAAAATGCATCTCGTGATCTAAAGTGGACAGCTGAGACACATCGTTGTTCACACCTGTTTGTCCAGCCAACCACTTGTGTTTAGATTTCGTTTCTGCTGCGCCACTTCCGCTAAATAGTGAAAAGACCGCGTGCACAGTCATTAAGTCAGATTTTTGCCAGATAGTCTCCCAAACCAGAAGAAGTTTAATTAATTTTAGCTTTGTCTTTGCAGATGCACTTATGTGCTGGCATCTATGAGGCTTATCTGAGAAGCTGAGGAATCAGACTTGAATCGGTAGTACCTGCGAAGACAGTCCAGTCGGACATGGCCCTTTGCCTGGAGAGTGGACATCCTCACCAGGAGCTGACTGAGAATATTCTCCTGGAGCTGCTCCACCTTCTGGGGGGACAGGTAAGGATGAAGAGCAACCTGGCTCTGGAGCTCCTCCACATGGGTCTGGAACTTCTCCTGCAGTGCGGCCAGAGCCTGCTGTGCCTCCTCCACCCTTTCAGAGCAGAGTCCAACAGAGCCATAGGGAGGCAGCAGAGAGGCCTCGATGTCCCTCAAGAACTGTACTGCCTGTCTAACAGCACACATGTAGGCTCTTAAAGACTCCCTGGCCTGGGATATGTTCTCCTAGAAAACAATAAGCACAATTTTTAATAAACACCATAGTCAGCATGTGCTTAGTGCATACAACTACTGTATGCTACACACAGTGTGATCCAAAGATGAAGCAAGAACTAGTTCTACAAAATTTAAGAGGCATCAATTTGTCTAAGTTCTTCTTCCAAACGAATGGTTTATATAAAATGTTAACACTGGGGTTTGTTCACAATGTGATGACCTGGTCAGTACATCACTACGAACACAGTAAGTGATGATTAAAAGTACAAATATAGGACCAAGCTTTTTAAATTTTTAAGATTACAGTTGTCTTGTGTAGAAATCTTTGAGTATTTCCATAGTTCTATCTTAGCTTTAAGAAGACTTGAATGTGTCAAATGATTTAAACCTGAACCTTGAAAAGGCTTTGAACTTGACTACAGAACATACATTTTTCCCTGGATTCACCGTACCTGAAAATAACAGGATGAATTTGCAGAGTATAGGGTTCATATTGATTTCACTGAATCATAACGATTAAAATAAGATACAGTGAACTGTCAGGATAAAGATATGCAGGATATTTCAAATGCTTCTCTGTGATTGTCCAAACTTATCAAAACATCATTTTAAAACTGATAAAAAGCATTTGAAACTGAAAAAACAACAAAGAAGGACACTGCTACTTGCCATTTGAGAGTCACATTCACTGAGGACTGCATTCTTCAAACTCGTCACATCTCGGGATTCACTTCCTTTTCTTTTCCCCTTGTTTTGCTCTAGGAACTCCAGGGCTCTCATTCTTGCCTCTACAGTCTTTTTCAAAGACATGATTCTCTGATATTTTTTGTTGATTGCTGCTTCATGTGGCTCCAACACAGTGAGTCTCTGGAGCTCCTGCTGGGTCTCTGAAAGGAAGGCCTCAGAGGCTTTCTTCTCTGATTCCAGGTCCAGCTCCTTCAGCAGGTTCCACTCGATGATGCTCAGGTTGTTGTAGTGTTTCATCTCCCAGGTGTCAAGGCTCTCCTCGATTTGTTTCAGCCTCTGCTGCTCTGTGTTTAGCTGTGAGGGGTAGAGGTCAGCAGAGATTGTCTGGAGTTTGGCACGGGCCTCCTTGCACAAAAGCTTTATGAGAGGAAACTGGACGAGGAGACTCTGACACACTTTGTACTTCTCCTCCAGCTCCATGCTTTCTTCTTTAGTCTGGCGGACCTGCTCCTGGATGTTCTCCTTGAGGTCCTCCACATGCTGCCTCATGTTCAGGTATTTTTCATGATCAGTGGCTTTCATTTCCAGGACGACTATCTTGCTGTAAAGCTCAGAAATGACTGAGTGCAGTTCCCTTGCCTTTTCCTGGGGAATCCACAGATGAAGGAGGTCAACCTGAGACTTGTGCTCCAAAATCATGTGTTTGAAAGGCTCCAAGGCTTGCAGGGACTCTCTTGTGATGGGGAACCTGTGTCTGCTGACATCCACTAACATCTGCCTCAGGCTTTTTTCAATGGTGACCAGGTGTTTCTTGCTTGAATCTACAGCCTGGATGAGGTCGTCCAGCTCTGTTTTGTTGGCCTTCTCATAGCTGCTAATGGCTCTGACATCCTCCTGGAGGTTGGTAAGCTTCTCAAAAAGCTGACAGTTCTCTGTGCTGCTGAGTTCAGAGGAAATGTCTTTACTCTTCATTAAAAGAGCCTCACAGACAGCAGCCTGCTTCTCAGCCTCAGCCAGGGTCTCTTGGATCTGACGAGCTCTGCGATCCAGCTCAGCAGGGCTCCGGAGTTCACCGTCTGCAGTCCTGGAGACCTCTCTGTGCAGATGAGCTACAACCCAGGAGTCTACATCAGCGATCTGCTCTGACAGCTTTTCTCTGGTCTGCAGCCCTGACTCTGTCTCTCTCACAGCCTTGGCCAGCTTCTCAGTAGTTGACTTTGAGAGTTGTTCAAGGGATTCGAGAGTGGAACGAACCATGGGCACCTCCTCAGCCTGGTCCAGCTGTGGAAGGAGCTCTGTCACTTCCTCAACCAGTGTCTCCAGCTGACCCTGTTTGGCCATCACTTCTGACTGCAGCGTCTTCAAATCTTTGAGTTTCCGGTGAACGTCTTCAGGGAGGAGAGCCACCCTCTTCCTCCTGCCCTCGATGTCACTCTCTGTTTGTTTAGCCCAGGCAAGGCCATCCCTCATCACCACAATAATTTTCTCCATGATGGGGTTGCTGCAGTTCTGGGTTTGGGAGGACACCAATTCCTCTGCATGCTTGAGCTTGTCTTTGACCATCTGGAGCCCCTTCTTTATCTCTTGTGTTTCCTTCTCCCACCATGGGCTGAGGAGAAGCACCTTGGAAAGCTGCTGCAAATGGAGGTATTTCTGTCGGGCAGCTTTAACCTCAGCATTTGCCGTCATCAGCTGCTGTGCCTTCTTGCAGTCCCACGGAGTAACTGATGGAGACTTGGCTTCAAGCTCTTTGCCAACTGTGTCCAAGTGTTCCTGTAGAGCTAATATCTGTGACAGGAGGCTGCTGGTCTCATGAGAATGGACACTTGCAGAATGAAGCAACCTCTCCACCAATCTTTCCAGGCCTCTCCACTTCTCATGTAGGTTCTTCTGCTCAGCCTGTGTGGCTGCTCGCTCGGACCAGCTGAGGTGGGGACTCAGCTGGGTGGAGGTCATGAGCAACTCCCCGAGTATTGTTCCATTCTCCTCCATACTTTTCTGTAAGGAGCACAGTTGCTCAGCCTCCTTGGAACTGCTGTGCTCTGGGGACCTGAAAGAATAAACTAAGTCTAGACATCATGCGCTTCAAATTTGGGTTGTGCAACAGATTGTACAAGACAGGTATAAGAAGTGTGTGTTTCACTGTTACACAATCGATGTTTCTTCCTACATCTTTGAGATTTATGCTACATTCACTAATACTACAAAATACTGCATCAGAGAGCTTTAAAACGCCTGTTCCTCAGGTTTCTAGCTCCAGCTCAAGTTACATCACCCCAAACACAACAGCAACTCTGTTTGAGAACATTATGGAAAAGATGCAAGTTAGTAAGAGTTAAGAAATATTCAGAAAAATCTGTCACGTGCAGTTAAATGAGCAAACAGACTCGAACTTTGACCCCACTTGTACATGTATTTATTATAAAACAGTGTCTAGTATCTTAACCGGTGTTAGAAAGCAGGCGACAACTCACATTTTCATTGTTAGTCTTTCCACTGTGTCCTTGGCTGTTTGGATCTGTCTGCAGTAATCGGTCACCAGCTGCATTTGGGCCTCTTTACTCTGAATGACAGTAGCTGCATCCCGGGCAGCGGAGTGCCACTGGTCCTCCATCCGTCCCAGAGCGTCTCTGTTCTCAGCACCAGCTCCTCTCAGTTGAGAGAGCTGTGCCACCTGGGCCTGGGCGGTTTTTCTGCACTGCTGTACTCAGCAGGCAAAAGTAAACCCAAGAGGTCAAAGCCTGTATTTTTACCTCAAATGTTATGTTCTTTAAGATTATTGAATAATGATAATCAGATCAGTTATGTACAGACAATTATTTAACAGGACATACTGCTAATGTAGGATTAGACCCCAGGAAGAAAAGCTGCTGCTCTAATGGGGATCTAAATAAACAAACAAAACTAATAAGTAAATTGCTTGTAAAACATGTCCAACTGTTAAAGTCATAAAGGACAGTTGCACAGTTATTTTGGCAAATGTCTACTTATTTTTAATATCCACCTTTACAGCAGGCTGATATCCATCACAGATACCTAATTCTAGAGGCACTTTTGCATTACTGCTTATTTCTTGACAACCTGCAGCACAAATCCAGGAGCTGCTATAAATCACTGTTTCTCTAGTGAGTCATACAGTCCGTCATCTCACCTGAGCCTCCTCCACCTGCCTGCCCATGGCTGTTGGGCTGAGCTCGGCTGGGCGGTTCTTGCACCTCAGGATCTGTGATACCAGCCTGCTAAGATGACCATCCAGGTCACTGGTGACTGTCAGCAGAGCCTCTGTAGCATCCTCCAGTAGGTCACCCTGAAACACGAAGACACATCAGTGACAGAACAGGTTCTGATGAGGTTCAAACTGGAGTCGTTTTAGCCCATTTATTGGCCTATATAAAAAAAACCTCAAAGGTTTTACTCCATGTAATTATTCCCTCTAGAACCAAGTACTCTTAGAATTTTTTAAAGTCTCTGAATGAAAAATGCTGTGATTTTTTTCTGACACAATGAAAAGCAAGAGGTAGGATGTAAAGGAGATGAAATAACATGAAAACGTAACATGCGCCGTCTTCTAACCAGCAGTGCCAACAGTGCATGCTCATCACAGCACTGGTCTCACAAATTAAAGGTTATGTGTAAGAGCCGACAGTTTCGTGAAGTCTGGCTCATAGTGGTAGCACCAGTAACCCTGATACCTCAGTGAGTTGACTGCTGGGTCCTGTCCCTGCTACTAGCTGTATGTCTGTGAAGAGGGCAGAGCCTTCTGGTGGCTCCAGGGCTATCGTCTCAGTCTTCATAACACCTGCTTCCACTTTGGTTTCACGTGTAGGCAGCCCTCCCACCTGGATTACTTCACCAAGGATAACGTCAGCTGATGATTTCTGATACGCCTGCTGTGATGCCGATGCTGTCTTGTCAGCACTGTAACCCTGCTCCTATTATGGGCATAAAGCACCAGTATTAATGGAAGAATGATTCAATTTCAGTCAAGCAAAAAAAAAAAAAAAAATCTGGATGTAAAATGAACTTCAATTATAACTTTTCTCTGAGAGTGCACCCAGTGTTACTCCCTATGACCTCGTGTACGAGGCAGCTCATGTTCCTGCCCTGCAGCATTGAAATGTTTATTAGCACAGGTAAGAAATATCTCAAGCTTAGGTTCTTGGCTTTGTTTTTTTGTATAATGTAGCCATGTTCAGCCCCAAATATTAAGTAGACATTTGTGGTAAATTTTAGGCTTTAAGGTCGAATGATCAGTCATCTGTGCTCCTGTAAGGAAGGGAGTGCAAACAAGACAGAGCGTAATGAAAGACATTTGCATTTGGCTTCCCTGGACCAAGAACAGTCTGTATTTATCTTCTTTTCTCTGGATATTGTTGTCACTCTCTCTATCAAATCATGTTGTGTTTGTCAAATATGTAATATGAGCTTCTGTGGATGTTTTGCGAA